AGGATTTCAAGATCCCTGAGAACAACCACAATGAAAATACTGGCTCTGCAATTGTTTCCTGGCTGCTTAAACCTTACTCAAATGAATCTATAGCCAGAACAGCTGATTAAAGATCAGCTTAGTGGGAAATGTGAATGAAGGACTATTAGGTTTCTTTGCAGGTTACTCAGGTTATGTTTCTGTCATGTCAGAAGCTGGGGTGCCTGACCTCTGCCTCCTCTTTTGATTTCACCTTGCCTGGGAGCTTCCCTGACAGTGGGACCAGGATTAGATCATGTTGAGGGAGCTGTCTCATTAAGCTTTGGAAAGTGAGGAAGCATCTTCCTGGGGCTTCTGCTGCTGCCCTTGACCAGAGCCCAAACCTGATGTGTCAGTGACATCAGAGGACAGTACTTCTGCCCTGCTTTCTCCCCTAGCTAGCTCCTAGGCCAATACAGAGCCCTGCCTTTGGCATGTAAGTGCAGCAACAGGTTTGTCCATGTGCTGCTCTTTTCTTCCTGAGAAGCTGCTGGTGCAGCTGGCTCTTGGTGTGCTGCAGACATCCATACCTTCCTGAAGCAGCTGTCTCCCCAAAATGCTGGGCAGGGCTCTGGCTCGGTCCCCTCCTGCACAGACACCCCCATACCTATGTGCAGAATGGCTCTGTTTGTCTGGGCAAGCGTGTGTAGGTGGGTGTCTCCCTCCAGTTCTCCTTCCAGTGGCTCCTGGTTTATTTTGGGACTGATGTGGATGTAAGGTGTCAGCATGGACATTGAAAGCACCGGGCTAGGAGGCTGCTTGCTGTCCTGAAATGCTGAAATAACTTGGATGAGGTGAAACTGTCCAGTGGCCAAATGGAAACCAATTCCTTCCTTAGAGCCATCGGCTGGTTGAGGTTTTCGGACCTCAGAGGAGGGTGCTCCTGGCATGAAACACTTTCTCTAGGAACAGTTCTTCACAGCTCTTAACCTGGACAAAGGGTGTCTGTGTACTACAGTCTTCCTGCCCCAGGTCCCATCTTGTACTTGGAGTTCCCTATAACTGTGGATGCATCCTGTTATTATTCTCTACTTCTGTGGGGTTTAATTAAAATGCAGGTCTTTAATTTTTAATTTTTCCTTCCTGTTGATTCGACTGTCTCTGCGTGAACGAGGTCTAGGTGCAATTACTGTGCTCCCTGTGGAGAAACAGACATTTAATTCAGCAAGGCAGACTTTTTCTTGGAGGGGGTTTATTTTCCTGATCTTCCTACTCAGAGGGATGCAAAAGCAAAACATCCAGTGAGTAAAGAATGCGACACTTTATTTGGTTATTCTGGACACGTTTGCTGCATCTCAGTTACCAAAATATTACATTCCTTGCAGAGAGCCTCCTTAAGTAAAGGGCTTGTGATGAAGCTACTCAGCACAACTTGCATTAGCAAGGTGAGTTGAAATCACTGAGTCAGGTTGAGGTTTCTCTTCAAAATTCTGTTCTTGCAGCAGTGATACTCTGTAAAAATACAGAGTTTTATTGTAGCATTAAGCTGTTTCCTGATTTGTTGATCTGAGAAGAGGACCAGGCAAGTACCTTGTGCCTGCTTGCTGTGGGGGCACATCTGTGACCAGAGGAGACAGAGGCTCCTGCTGCTGCTTGGGACCCAGCTGAGCTCCTGGCAGGGAGATCAACTATGAACCTTTAATAAAGGGTTGAAATACTGGCTCTCAGATTCCCATTGTCCTTATTTAAGTCTGCTTCAGCTAACTTAGTGCTTTTGCTAGCTGAACTCTCCTTGAGCAACTGTAGGTCACTGCTGAAACATGCAAAGACAGGATTTCTCTGCACCTCCTGAATTGCAGTCCCAAGCTTTCAAAATTCTTCAGGTTCTTTCAGCTCCAGACCTGAGGCATCCTCAGTTCCCCTTGTGTGTGCTAGTTTATTTTCTCCGTGTTCATAGAGATCGTATCTATATGTGTCAGACACTTCCAAATGTAGCCTTGTTCTTTCTCCATGTCTTCCCAGCTCCAGCCGTGTCTGTTCTGTTTTACATCCCAGTGTTTAACCTAACAGGCTTGTTGATAGAAGTGGCTTGTGAGGCTGAGCCCTGTTTTGACCCCTGAGGCTTGCTGGGAGTACAGTAAAACCTTGGTGAAAGATAAGTGCCCTGTTATCAGAGGCAGTTCTGGCACACGGATCCTTGCTGTACCTGTGAGTAGTTCGGGATCCTCATGCTGGTGGCAGGGACACACTTGGCATGTGCCTTTTCCTTGTGGTTTGAGTAAGGTATGGCCCCTTTCTGCACGTGTTCTGAAGATTGCTTTGATTTGTAAGCCGCCAACTTAGACTGAAATAGTGTGTTGAGGGTAAGAGTGATTTGATGGGATTTAAACTGATTTTTATCCATCCCCCACACACCCTGCCCCCCGCCGATGGAGAGGATAAACATTCCATTGTTTTTTGTGTGAAGTGCCTTTTAGTACCAGCAGCCCAGCAATGGGGGATGAAGAAAGCAGATGTGTCCCATGTCTTTTTAAACTGCTTTTGTTTTTCTGATCACTGTAAAGGAGGCTTTTAATTTTTTTATTTTTTTTCCCCAAGCAGCAAGTGCTCTACAGGGTTTGATCAAAGCTCATAAATGATGAATTGAAGGAATGCCCAGTGGAGAACAGAACGCCCTCCTTGTGCTCTGCTCTGTGTGCTGAGAACACCATTGTTTCTTCCCGTACCTTTTCCATCCCCGAGCTCGGGGCTGGAGAGAAAAGGCCTTTGTTCCTTGCCTGTCAGCTGAGACAATGCCAGTGTGTTGTCTTACCTCTGCTCTCAGCACCTGACTGGCCTGAGCTCTGTGGGTTTTGGCAGGCTGAGCACAATTGTCCTCCAGCTACAGCGTTACAAAGAAAACAAACAGCTTCACAGCCTCCTTCCTCCAGATCCTGGCCCACGTGTGTCTGTCTGTGCCTGCTGTTTCACTTGGGATGCAGAGGAAAAGCCAGCACCCTCTCCTGTTCTCCAGGATGAGAGATGATGCTTCACCTGACTCCCAGTGCACACAGAGGCAAGGGAGGGGACAGAGGCCCAGGCAGTCCTGGTTTTTCTACTTTTTTGTAACTTCTGCAGCATCTCTGGTTGTGCTGTCTTGTGATGCAAAGCTCTGCAAAGGAGACAGCTTGTAGTCCTCTGTTTCTCTTGGGTTTTGGGGACTTTAGCAGGAACAAGAGCTTTGCAAAGGAAGAGGGAGAACAGATGGCATGAACTGGGGTGGAGAAGAGGCTGGCAGGGACATGTTTGGTGCTGGAGTGCAGACCATTAGCCTGGCTCTTCCCTGCTGCTGGCCCTGTGTCAGACCAGAGTTCAGGCAGAGGCACGAGTGCTTCAGGATGAGACCAGCAGTACTTGCTTCAACGCTGTCTTGTGATGCAAAGCTCTGCAAAGGAGACAGCTTGTAGTCCTCTGTTTCTCTTGGGTTTTGGGGACTTTAGCAGGAACAAGAGCTTTGCAAAGGAAGAGGGAGAACAGATGGCATAAACTGGGGTGAAGAGGCTCGCAGGGACATGTGTGGGGAGGTGCTGGAGTGCAGACCATAAGCCTGGCTCTTCCCTGCTGCTGGCCCTGTGTCAGACCAGAGTTCAGGCAGAGGCACGAGTGCTTCAGGATGAGACCAGCAGTACTTGCTTCAACACCTGCCGCTACTCCTGCTGGGAAGAGCCTTTAGCTGCATCTCTCCTGCTGTTTTGCACCCAGGCTGATCCTGTCTACCCTCAGACATTGCAGCAAATCAGTGGAAAATGTGGCCGAGGTGCAAGTCAGCCTTGCAATGCTGCATTGTCAGGCACCTGGCACCAGTGTGAAATACTGTAGTTCAAGTGCAGGCTTCAGTCAGTGGCACTTGTGCCAAAATCCAGCATCAGCTCCTCTTTCATTCCCATCTACTGCTGGACTTCACCCCTCCATGAACAGCTCTGATGTTACACTTGATCTGGGAGGAAGAGCTCGGCAGTGGGTTTGAGCAGAGTAATGCTGATGCCTGCTAACATTCCGTGCCAGAGGCCGGAGATGCCCATGCCATGGAGTAAGGACCTGACACAAAGGCGGTGCTGGCTCCTGGCCAGCGTGACAGATGATGTCTAGTCACTGCAGCCCGCCCAGCAACTCTCCCTGGCCTCTGCTATCCTCAAACTGAGCTGTCTTGGCTTCAGGTTTATCTTTGCCTGAAGTTTGTTTATGGCTATGCCTTCTGAATTCCCCCAGCTGGTGGTAACTTCTGTGAAACTGTGGCAGCACCAATGTTCCCGTTACCCAGAGCCTGCAGTGGGCTGCAGAGGCCGAATTCCATCTGCTCCCAAGCTCCCTGTGCTGGGAGGCAGAAGTGCAAACAGCTTGAACCAGAACAATGTAGCATTGCCTGGGTGAAGAATGTGATTTACTTGCATATGTGTGGCATGTGCACACCAGGGCCAGAGGGCACCACTCGAGTCCTCTCCTTTCTCTTTCCTTTTTTTCTCCCTGCCTTTGCCTGAGCCACTTGCTAGCACTTTTGTTTGGGGGTGAGGAGAAGAATGTGTGGGTTGACAAGAAGAGGTGGGAGCGAGATCTTTGGGAGCAAGGAGTCTGAAACTGAAAAAGCCAACAATCTAAGAAAGCCTTGTAGAGAAGTTTAAAATTAGATTGACCCTATGCTTTCATATTGCTGGAATTTAATTCCTCTGACCCTGTAGCTTTTGGTCTGACTCAAAGCAAGGGTTCCCAGGCTGTGGTCAGTGGAGGCCAGTGCTGTCTGGGGCTCTCGTGTGGCCATGGGTCTGTATCAGAGACACATGCACCTCCTGTCCACCTCCTTGTATTTATGAAAGGTTGGAGAAGTTCAGTCTTGAGAAGCCAAGGAAGCCTCATATATTTCTGCTGTCTTTGTCTGTATCAGCATGGGGCTTGTGTCTGGAGCCTGTTCTCTCTCAAACTGGGATACTGCTGCGTATGAAAGCTGATCAGAGCTTTTCCTTTTGCACACGTGATTGTAACTGTTTCTCTTCTGTTCCCATTTGCAGGTTGTGCAGCTTGACATTAAAGAAACTGGTAGTCTTAAAGGAATTGGATAAGGAGCTTATTTCCGGGGTCATTGCTGTCAAAATGCAGGTAATTACTGCCCAGTTCTATGAATTGTGTTGTTTGACTAAGAACACTGGCACGTGCCCAAACTGAGCTTTACCCCCCACGTAAGGATCCACAGACTTCTTCAACTTCTGCAACTTCCACGTTGCATCCACAGACTTTTTCCCAAGTCCATCAGGGTGTTCTGGATCTGTGTAGTCACTTTTCTTACCCTTCTCCCACATTCCAAACTCATTTCACTGTTGTAAGTGAAGAATATTGTTCACCGATGGCTCAGCATAAGCTTATCTGCATGTAAAAATGCTCTTCACGGATCACATGTCCCCTTTTCTTCCTGAGCTAAATCCAAGCCTTCATCTCTGTTTACCAGTCTGGGGCTGAATATCTTGGTAACTGGGTCTCGGTTTGGGGGAGTCTGGGCCTTCCTCTGCTGCTGGGCAGCTCTGCTATAGATCTCATGTCCCCTTTTCTTCCTGAGCTGGCACTAAATCCAAGCCTTCATCTCTGTTTACCAGTCTGGGGCTGAATATCTTGGTAACTGGGTCTCGGTTTGGGGGAGTCTGGGCCTTCCTCTGCTGCTGGGCAGCTCTGCTATCAAGTCTGTAGCCAAGTTTGTCAGCGGGTTTGCAGGGTGCCTTACAGACTAATTGCTTTTCCTAAAATACAGTTGTCATCCTAGGTAAATAACCCACTTTAGAGCAGATGTTTGTGCCATTTAATTAGGTATCTCCATGTAGGTCACTCTGCCTGGAGGGGGGAAGGAAGGGGGCTCGGTGCCACCGTGCGTCACAGCATCGGCTGGGCTCACGTGCTCTCATCACTGCAAACCCTAAAGTGCTTAACCAGGAAAAGCCTAGCAGGCCTGTAAGTAGAACATTAACTGGGCTGAAAAGCTGCTGCTTTTCAAATGAGGAGCTAGGCAAACCCCTGCAGAGAGCTGGTTGTGTCAAAACACACAAATTCTAGTTTGAAAGGTGAAATCAGGAAGGAAAACCACATAGCTGAGGATTTAATTGGTATCTCTCATCTCTGAGTGGTCGAGCTGGGATAAAAATGTGCCCCTCTAAGTTGGAGGGGGTTTGTGCATCCACAGCAGAGGGCAGAAAGGCAGGAATTGCTTCACACACCTGCATTTGTGGAACCTCAGAAGAAGCACTGCTGCGGGTTTCCAGGCTGTCAGATACTGCTTATCAAGTCTGAAAGCTTTCCATATGTTTGTACTCCTCGATGATGAATGCATCACTGTAAGCACCTGAGGCTTGTCAGAGACTGATCTATGCCCAGAGAGTGCCAGACTAGGCTTGAAGAATTCAGAAGCTTTTATTAGAGCAAGACCTTCTTTTCCTGTCCAGATTACTGCTGCTCACACTTTCTATAGGTGAAAACTTGCCCCAAACCCACAGATCTAACTGGAATTTTAACACGTGGGAATCTCAGGTCCCATTTTGTGTATGTGTTGTGGCCTGCATTGCTGCAGGATTCAGACACTGGAACCTGAGCAGTCCTCTCCACACCAGGCCCTGCTATTAAAAATCCCTTCAGAGCTTGCAGGTTATGATGCTGATGCTGACAGGCTTTTCCAGGGATGCTTTATTTGCCAGCACTCAGGTTTCTGACATGGCTATTGCTTGAGGCTGGTGGTACTGGATCATCAAATACATGGTCTCTGTCAAATGCCTGCCTTTGTCTGGGGAATTGCATGTGAGTTGTCAGACACCAGAGCCCTTCCAGAGGGGGTGACTGAATTCAGACCTAATGAGAGCATCTTACCTGCATCTCCCATGTTTCCTTGCAGCCTCCAGAGCAGAGATGTTCAAAGAGTTGTCAGCTGTATTTCCCGAGCCGTTGCTCTGTTTATCTACTGCGGTCTTTTAAAAGCAACTATATTTGGTCTTTCATTAGATTTTGGTTGCGTAACCAGCAAAGCAAGATTGCTGCCATTAGGAGCTTTGCACAAATGGAGCAGCTGCTGCTGTTGCCAGCGGCCAGGCTGGCTGTGCTTCACTGGCACATGTGCTGCTTGTCCTGGGGGCAGCCCCTGGGTGCCAGGCTCTGCTCTGTTGTGTGCTGTCAGATCTGCTGGAGCTCAGGCATCGCGGTGTTTCCAGAGAGGAGCTGGAGCTGTGCAGGGCTGAGGCACCAGTGCAGATCACGGCCTTTGCTGGGGCTGCCTGAGCTGTGCCTTTGGGGAGGAGGGGATGTAGACGAGGCTCTGCTGCTGTCTCATCTCCCGATGCTCTCTGAGGCTGATGGGGCAGACCACATTTCCCCCTGGATGTAGCTTGGAGGTGCTTACCCCTCCCCAGTCTGTCTCTGATTTCCCAGATGCTGCTTTTTCAAGAGCTACAGTTCTGTGCTTCTGGGAGATCAGCCCGTCTGGACAAAGCCAGATCTGCAGCCTCAGCAGAATGTGGAGCCAGAGACCTCTGAAAGTTGCCACTGTGTTTGAATACTGCAGAAGGGTTTGCTAGGCAGCAGTCTGTCATGTTTTTCTGCTAGTTTTCCTTCAAACATTCCCTGAAATGAAATGCTCACACAGTAAATAGCCTGGTAACTCTGTTAGCATAAGGCAGTCTACACACAGGTTGATTTGGAGTTGCCCTGTAATACATTAAATCTCCAGACACCAGTGAGTTGCTTAGTGAATTTTTTCTTTAATATTCCTAGCTGCTGGCAATTGTTTAAACAGGTTAAAGTCCCCATTTTCCCCAGGGAGGGGCGTGTGCACAAAAAGAAAAGCCCAGTCTGTCATGGCTAACGCAGGAGATTTAAGCATGATGCTGCAGCCTCCAGACCCAGGAGACGAAGAGCCTTGTACCTATTGGCTGAAGTGAAAATAGGAGACTTCGACTCCGGGGATGGGGCTTGACTCACAGCTTTTCAATGCTGGGGTTTGGCAGAACAAAAGCTGCATTGTTGCAGTTAGGGACAGTAAATATGCCCAAATCTTTATTAGTCAAATATCTCCCTTTCATCTCATTAATATTTCACAGAAGTACAAGGTCAGAGCCATCCGTTCACTTCTCTGTGGTAGTCCCTGACAACGTTTCCTGGTGTGCAGTAAACAGGGCTGGGATGGGATGTGAGAGGTGGCTTCGGGGCAATTCACCCGCTGCTGGACTTTGTTTCCATGCAGGGCTCCAAGCGCATCCTGCGCTCCCACGAGATCGTGTTGCCCCCGAGTGGACACGTGGAGACGGAGCTGGCTCTGACCTTCTCGCTGCAGGTAGGCTGGGACCGGCTGCTGCTGGGCTGCCGCTGCTCCCCGGGCGTGTTTGCAGGGGGAGCTGGTGGCTCCGAGGTGGAGCAGGGCAGGCTGTGTGGTGATTGTGTGTTGTTGTGGAGCAGGGCTGCGTGGGGCTCCGAGGTGGAGCAGGCTGTGTGGTGGCTCCGAGGTGGAGCAGGGCTGCGTGGTGGCTCCGAGGTGGAGCAGGGCTGCGTGGTGGCTCCAAGGTGGAGCAGGGCTGCGTGGTGGCTCCGAGGTGGAGCAGGCTGTGTGGGGGCTCTGAGGTGGAGCAGGGCTGCGTGGGGCTCCGAGGTGGAGCAGGCTGCGTGGTGGGCTCCAAGGTGGAGCAGGGCTGCGTGGTGGCTCCGAGGTGGAGCAGGGCTGCGTGGTGATTGTGTGTTGTTGTGGAGCAGGGCTGTGTGGTGGCTCTGAGGTGGAGCAGGGCTGGCTGTGTGGTGGCTGTGTGTTGGTGTGGAGCAGGCTGTGTGGTGGCTCCCAGCTGCAGGTGCTGGTGAGCAGCAGCACAGCCTGTGTGAGTCGCCTCTCAGCACTCGGGGCTGGAGCCGGGCGCTGGTTCACAGCTCCTCACAGTGCATCCTGGAGCAGGGAGGCTTTGCAGGCTCTCCTCCTCAAGGCATAGCTGTGGCAAGAGCTGAAGCAGAGCAAGTTGGCTCTTTTTTTGCATTTTGTTGCCTTCTTAATGAGCAGGCAGTGGAGGATGGCAGCCGTGAGGGTGGTGTGGAGTGTCAGGCTGACAGGAGGCAGTAGTAGGAATGAGTCAGGTGAGCCTCTGATTTGAAGCTGCTGAGGGAGGCACCATTTGGGGAAGCAGGAGCAGTTACTCCTGGCTCTGGGGTCACAGGAATAGCTGTCAATTTGTACAACTGTATTTTTTGGTTCCTCTTTTCTTCAAAGCCTGCAGTCCTGGTGCTACCTCCTGAGCAGGGAAATGAGGAAAATAAGGTCTGGCTTGCTGAAAGTGAGAGAGAGGATCCTGCACACATAGAGCAGAGTCAGACAGACCTCAGGAGCATTCGTACCTGGATTATCTTTGTTTTGTGACTGTGGGTTAGATCTTGACTTCAGGACTTTGATCTGGTAAGGAGAAAGGCTCAGGTGATGATGTGAGGCTGGTTGTTACTCAGACCTGTGCAGAGCTGAAGCAGGTAAGCTTTCGTTGCAGATAGATGATAACCCTGCAGCTGCCCAAGCAGATGGCTGGGTTGACTGCAGCATTGCATCCCCTGTTTTGTGAACAGGAAAAACCAAGCTGCATGCCAGGAATATCTGCACCTGGATCCTGTGGCTGCAGCTTTCCCATGGTTGGGAGCAAAGCTGTAAGACAAGACAGGTCTCCCTTTACCAGTCCTGTGTCAGCAAGGAGCAAGTCTGCAGATTTTTTAGAATTCATTTGGATTATGGTGTTTTGGGTTTTTTTCCTGGGGCTCAGAGCAATGCTGCAGCAGGATGCAGAGCACTGCCTTTAACTCTGCTTCCACTGATGGGGCTGAAAATTGAGCCAGAGCAGGGGAGAGGAGTGTCTGGGACACTGAGCCTTCAGCAGAGGTGAGCGAGCTTAAAGCAGAGAGGTGCTGCTGGTCTCTGACTGCAGGAAGGGTTGGTGGTCTTGGATGCAGTAAGGCCTGGGAAGCATTCTTGAAATGGCACAGCTGGATTTTTATGGCAACTTTTACTGCTGCTTAATTGGACAATGGCCGAAAGCTACTTCTGGCTAGCAACCATAGCTTAATTCAGCTGCAATCTGAATTTAGTGCCTGGGATATATTTGAGAGGGGTGATGGACCACAAAGTAAAAGCATGTGGGTGTCACAGAGCAGGGTTTTGTTGTCTTGTCAGTATCTCCATATTGCACGGTCGGCTCTCAACACCGTGTGCCTGGCTTTGTGCTGCCTGCCTGGATTTGCAGCCCCTTGCACCTTTGTGCTGCCTGCCTGCTCAGTTCCTTCTGCTGGGTGACACTCCTGTCCTTTGCATGGAGTGTTCCCTGCCAGAGCTGAGCTAGGGCTGCTCTGCTGGCTGGCACAGCAGTGAGCAGCCCCTGGTGTCTGGCAGGCCTGTGCTCAAACTGAAGGGAGGCGTTTCCTGCTGCCCTGTTACACAGCTGAGACTGGAGTCTGTGCCCTGTGCAGTCCTGCTTCCCCTCCTGGCTGGGGCTAAAGCTGGACCAGCAGCAGCCCTTCAGGCAGGTGAGCTGCCAGCACCCTTCCTGCTGGAATTTCTGTGGGTTTCACAGAGCCCAGGGAAATTCCCCACATATTCCAAGCACAACATCACACCTCTCTGGCATTAATTAAGAGCTCTGCACTTAATTCCTGTCTTTAATCTAATAAACCTTTCCAGATGGGAGAGATTACATTACTGGGGCTTCAGAAAAAGTCTTACCCTGACAATCACTAATCTGGTGTGTGCATTTTGTCACTCCTCAGAGGTGCCTTGAGGTGTTTGTTGCTTCCTCTAAAAGCATTCAAACATTTTGAGCCAAACTGTTTTCCTCTCCAGTCTCTGTCATGGACTGACAATCACTGAAAATTTGTGTGAAGCAATTCTGGAGAGCTGATAAGTAACATCTGGTGTTAAGAAAACTGGACTGTGCTATGCAAATAGCTCATCTTTTCTTCTGGAGGACCTTGCTTTTGATGGAGGAGCTGAGTGGCCTGAGTCTCTCTGTTCCTTCTTTTACCACCTCTGAATGCTCACCAGAGGTGGCCAGGCAGTACACCTGAGAAAAACAGAAACCTGCACATCTATGGACTTGAGCTGTTTAATCCCAGAAAACGGGACACATTCAAACTGAGCTGGTGTGGCACCAAGGGTGACTTGGGACTTCAGTTCTAGGTTAGTACTTAGGCAGCCTAGGTGTGGCTCAAATGCTGTGAGCTGAGAGCAAGGAGTCCCTCTTCCCTGCTGCCCTTCCAACATGTAGGAGGGCCCCAGAAGAAGGACATGGTAAATTTGAGTGTGAAAGGTACCTCTGGCTTTTTGAGCCCCTCTTGCCCCTTCTCTCCAATAACTTTCTTCCATCCTTTAGGGATACTGCACATCTGTAGAGTCACAGGCTCTTTGTGTTTTGGGATTGTCTTTTAGTGATGTGAACTGTTGTTCCTCTCTTCTGCAATGCCTCTGCCTCGGGCAATGAGCAGTAGATCTTGCCCTTGCAGGGCAATCAGCTAATTAGTATTCTTCTTGTTTGGGTGGCCACTGCTCCCAGCTCCCTGCAGAGCAGTCAGGCTTGCTCTGGACTGCAAATTAATATCTCAGGGGTTTCTGGTGGTGTTTGCTGTTTGATTTTATCAAGTGTTTTGATGGACAGGAAGTTAATTTCTATAATGTTCCAAGGGAAAAGTAGTTCTTCCCTGCAAGAGAAGAATCCTTTGCTTGGGAATGTCCTCTTTGAGATCCCAGCAGTTAGGTTCTCCTGTCTGCTGGTTATTTAGTACTATATATGTTGTATATTTGGAGCATATGTGCCACTCTCCTCTCTTCTTGGGATGAGAACTGGCCAGGTTGCTGCTTTATCTTTCCTTGATGACTTTTCTTTCTTTGGACAGCTTCTCCTTCATGGTTATGGTTAGCCTTATTCCCTAACAGTCTCTTCTTCACTTCACAGCTTTCTCTTCTTGGGGACTTTCTGGAGGAGGTGTATAAACAAATGTATTTTCTTGTATGGAACGTGCCTTGGGAGGATTTATGTCTTTGCAGCATAACCTGGCAGTAGGACAGGTTTTTTTTCCTTGACTTAATTACTTAAAATACAACCATTTGGGAGGTGTCCTTGTGCTGGAGGGAAGGCAGTGTCCTGCCAAGAGTGTGGGGGTCTGTGGCTGTCCCTGCCACTGCCCACTGCTTGTGCAGAGCAGCCCATGCCCAGGGCAGCACCGAGGGCTCCACTTCTGGGCATCCTCTGTTTAGCTGTTGGGGAAAGTGTCTCCTAGAGGCTGCTCATCTCCCTGGGCCAAGCCCTTCCCAAACTGAGCAGCTGCTCTGTGTGCCTGGATTGTGTTTTTGGAGTGCCTGGCTGAGCTGTTTGGGCAGAGTCTTCCCCAGGATAATGAAGAACTGTGCGCTAAGTGTGAGCGAGCTGCAGGCACTTAGGAAAGCCCTGGGCTTGTTCCTTAGGAATGGAGGTTATCCATGAAGCTGGGGAGCTATTGCCAAGAAGCAAAATGAGCTTTTCCACTGTGTTTCCCACCTCAGTACCCTCACTTCTTGAAGAGAGAAGGCAACAAGCTCCAGATCATGCTGCAGCGGCGGAAGCGCTACAAGAACCGAACCATTTTGGGCTACAAGACCCTGGCTGTGGGATGCATCAACATGGCTGAGGTGAGCTGCTCTTCACAGGCTCTGCTTACACACGTGGACATCTTCCCTTCTCTCCAAACCCACTGTTGTCACTTGCCTCATTGGGAAGAACCTGACAGGAATTCAAATAGCTGTCTTAATAGCTGCAACCAATATTCACAGGGCAATATTTTAACCAGATTTTATTACTGAGTAATAATATTGAGTGTTTTCTGCCTCATCTCTTAATAGCTAAAGCTTTCACAAGGATAGCTTGTGACATTTTGAGGGCTTTGTTATTGTTTTGTGGCTTTATTAGAGTTATGGGGTCCAGATAAAAAAGTGCAGAACAAGACAGAGTCACTTGGGCAAGCCTTCCAACCCTGAGAAGTGGTAAAGTTAAAGCAAGATTTACTGTGCCTCTCAGTGCACAGCATGAGAGTTCAGGATTAAGTAATTTCTCTCATTTTGCTTGAAAAACCCTTGGCCATTGTTATTTCATGGCTGTGGGTAATTTAGGTGGAGCTCTATTCATGAGAAGTAAATGATAAAATTAATGCTGGAGTCAAATATGGATAAATTATTCACAAAGGCTTTCTGAATGGCATAGCTCCATGTTTTGTTACTTCATGCCCTGTTTAATCTCTGCTGTTTCAGTGTCTGAGTGTTTAGAAATGGGCTTAGCAGTAGCAAGTTCAGTTTCACACCAACATTTTTCATCAGACTGCATTCTGTCAACAAATTACTTTTATCCAAAATAAGCCAGTGTTATGCTGTGGTGAGTTATTATTATATTAAATAATTCACTCTAAAGTGTGCTTCTCTTGTGTGAGTGCAGCTTCCCTCAGCCTTGCAGTGAATGGTGAGCTCCTTATTTGAATTGGCCAAGTGCATGGTGTTGCAGCTAACATTTTTCCTGTACTGTTTGATTTGTTGGACAACCAGAAAGTAAATACTGCTGTAAGGCAGAAAACATGTGGGCCCATTAATTAGAGTCACTGGTGAACTTCTAAGTGTGGGGCATTTGCTGCTGCTACATGTGGTTTTTCTTATGTCTGTTTGTAATGTCAGCTGACTGGGGTTAGAAGGTCAAAAATGTTCAAAGGTTCACCATGTTAGGAAATAGTTGCTCTCCAGCTCATCTGGAATATTTATGAAATTGAAGTCTTCGGGAAAACGGATTTTACAAGCCTTCCCCTCCCCTTTGGAGTTTATAGGATGATGACCCCTAAACTCCACTGACTCATTTCTTTAAAAAAAAAGAAAAAAAAAGTTCTCTTAAGCTGTTGAAACAAAGCAGTGAATTGGAGTTGAGAGTGAGCTGTTTCAGAGCAGGGGGACATATGTTCCTCATCAGCTCGGTCTGTTTAGGTCCCTGTGAGGAGGGATGGAGCAGCCTGGTGTGTGTTGGAAAGCTGCTGTGCAGGTGAGGGGATGGGCTCACTCACTCTGGTGGGGCAAGAGAAGATCACAAGATTCTGGGGAGAAACCTCTGAGCTGGGAGCAGCACAGGAAGGAGAAACCTGCACCAAGATGTCCCTCTGCCTCCACCACTGACTTGTTTTTCATGACCTGCTGCTGCTTCATTGTCCCAGGATGGTGGCTGGTTCCTCTGAAGTTCATGTGTCAGCTCTCCACAGCAAGGATATTTTGTTTTAGGCGGCACTTTACATCTGTATCTCACCAAGAATTTTTGCTTTTACCGGCTCTTTTGCTTGGTGTTAAGACACTATCAAGTTCCTTAATTAAGTGTTCAGAAAGTGGGTAACTTGATAATTCAAATCAGTACTGTGCTGGGGAAGCAGATACATAGTAATGAGGTAGTCAAGTACTCTGCTTCAAGGGTGAGCTAATCAGCTGTTAAGCTCAGAATGTTTTTTGTTTTCTTCCATCGCTTTCATTAGCAGTCAGATAAAATCTCTCAACTAGCATTGTGGATTGCCTGCAAGTGGCTCCTGTGGTTGCAAAGTCCTGGAAATGTAGAGTAACTCCATTAACATAAATAACTCTTGTAGTATGCAAATGATACAAGTTTAAATACACTTAAATGCAGATTTGTTCTGCTTAATTTCTGTCCCAGGTCATGCAGCACCCTACAGAAGGTGGCCAGGTTCTGAGCCTTTTCAGCAACATCAAAGAGGCTCCCGTGAAGGTGGCAGAAATCTGGATCTTCTCCTTGTCAAGTCAGCCAATCGACCATGAAGACAGCACTATGCAGGCCAGCCAGAAAATCAAGTCTACAGGTAAGAGTCCAACCACATTCTCTGAGGACCAGTGCCTTCCTGAACTAGCTGAAGCTAAATTGCCCCACCTGGGCTTGGATGCTTCCTGGGACAAATGAGGACTGGTTTGCACAAGTTGCTGTGTCTGTAAGTGATCAGTGCAAAGAAAACCCACTTTGCAAAAGTGCTGCTGAGCAAGCAGGGAGTGTGACAGGAGTAGGGAACTGAATTGTCAGAGCTTTTCCTGCATGCCACACCACACCTGAGCCATCCAGCAAGGGTTGACTGTGTCCTCACCAGTGCTCTCCCAGCATTACGGGTGGATGTTTTGAGAGCCTGTAGCTTCTCACCTGGCTGTCAGTGTTGTATTCAGGATATTCACATTTAAGCTACTCTTCCATCTTCTTTTTCCTTTCAGTATTCTACAATAAATTTCATGAACTGTAGATGAGACCGGCCAACCTGCAGCATGTTTTGCAGGGGGTGATGGCCTGGCTTAACAAGTGTAAATGCATGATGTTGTGTACTGTATAGGGAAGTCACTGGGTTCAGCTTGTGGTGATGTTTTTATGTGGTACCAGCCCTCTGCTCACTGCTGTAGGAGTGATCTGCTGAAGGGTAGTGCATGTAGGTGTTTGTGTGCTGCTGCCTGGGGCTGGGCAGCTCACCTGAAGGCTCATTTCCATAAAGGTTTTGTCATGTTTCACTTGCCCCTTTAAGTCAGTTATGCACATGTTAGGGGGAAATGCAATTTCCCTTGTGGAGAAACCTTTTTACTTGCTGCTGTCTACCAGGTGGTTGGTACTTTCCAGGAGGAAGTTTCCTCCTCCTACTGAAAGGAGGAGCCTTATCTGTGTCCTGGTCGTTCTTTCTTACTGGATGTGTTTCTCCTCATTCCTTTCCTGCAGACAATTCCTATCTCACTGGTTCTAGCACAGATAGATGCCTGCTAGTTTGTCTTCTCCTTGTGTGCCTCCTTTCTTGATTTGTGCCTTTAGCTGGCCATTTCTGCTCCTGAGATGAGACTGTGCCCTCACCTTGAAGGAGTTTCACAGGATCTTTCCCCTCTTTCCTTCCCTTTCAGACAACTATTCCGAGGAAGAGTACGAGAGCTTCTCTTCTGAGCAGGAGGCCAGTGATGATGCCGTGCAGGGCCAGGTACTGTTCAGGGCATGGCTTCTCCCTGAGAGGGCTCAGTGGAGCATGTGCACTCCCAGCTCCTGCTTGAAACTAAAAGCCTATTTCTGTATCTAAACCACACCAGTGTGAGACTGTTACCAAGTGTTCAGCTGCAGAGGAGAGGGCCTGCACAGTAACCCATTTCTTCTACCATGCTGTGATTTATCTGTTCACGTGTTTGGACTTGAGCTCCCTGAAAAACATTGGCATCCTTGTGCTTCTCTGCTTAATGGTCAGCGTGGCATTTGATGGCTTCTATAGTGCTCATTGGATTCAAAGAGCCCAACTGGATCCCCGGCTGTAATTAAAGGGCCAATGGGGTCTGAGGCAGCCTTTAGTCTTTAATACCTTTTGCTATGGAGAATCCCCTGAGTAGATGTGAGACGCTTTTGAGTTTGGATCTTACTTGCCTTCAGACTCTGGCATCACCTGTCAGAGGGTACTGAGAGAGGGACCCGCCAAAATGTGGGGCTGTGACTGCCCTTGTTCCTTGAATGTAGAGCTAGGGCTGTTTTGCTTCTCCAAGCTGTTGTTCCTGTCCCTGCAGACCTGTCTCACTTCCTTTTCCCTCTACCATCATAACTGCAATTAAGGCAAATGCTGGGTGCCTGGAAGACACAGCAGCAGGTTCATCTGCATAGAAGGAACATTTTTACATGCTCGTGTGTCGCAGAATGACGAAGGTAACACGGGAATCCTCTTTCTGTTCAGGATTTGGATGATGATGAGTACGAGATGGGGAAGCCCAAGAAGCAGCGGAGATCGATAGTAAGAACGACGTCCATAACCAGGGTCGGTGGAAATCAGTTTTACTAACACTGATGGGGTTTGGCCAGGATGTGCAGTGCATGTGGCTTGTGGGAAACCAGACACGCTGGCCCAGCATGGAGCTTGGGGGCATGGTCACAGCATGTGAAGAGCTAGAAAAAACAGCCAGTTCAGTCAGTGGGACCATCCAAGGTGTGTGCATGTCTTGAGTGTCCCTTGGCTGCAAGGTTAAGGAGCTCCAAAATTCATGCAAGTGTATGAAATTCCATCCCTGTGAAGAAACCAGTGCAGGATCCATGCTCATGTAAGTCCTGAAAGTAGCTCTAAGTGAAGGAAAGCTCTCCTATTTGTGCTCTGCATGGGAGAGGCCAGTGGGAAGTTCTCAAAATGAAGTGGCTTAGGGGTTGGAGCTTGATGGATAAACTTCAGGTGGTGTATGTGGTGCTGAGGCAAAAGAAGTAGCTGGATATGATGTCTATAGAAGCTTTAGAAAGAGGCATGTGGCTGTCAAGGCCCCCACACAAGCATGGGTGTGCCTGCAAAGCTGCACTTGTGTGGAGCAGGGACTTGATCTTCACCACACCATGGTCTCAGGCTGTTTCTGAAATCCATGTTTTGATTAGGTCTGAAATAAACCCTGTTTTGACCTGAATCTGTCACTATAGAGATCCTTCCTGTGAGATCAGGAGTGTGCTAGTTCGTACCCTTGGTGTCCATATTGTTTTGAAGTGTCAGTGACCAGTCAGGACAGGAACTCATAAGAGGAATGCCCTTCCAGCCCTGACCTCTGAACCGATGCTGAAGGTCCAGCTGGTGCAAAACTGGGTTTGGTGATGCCAGTGAAGTTACCATCAGCCCAGCTCCAAACCAGATGTGCTGTCTGTGAAACCACTCAGGCCAGCAAACAGCTCTTGCTGTGTCACCCTAGCTGCTGCATTCCAAGTGTCCCCCCTCGTGGGCTGCTGAACTGGCCCCAGGCATTGTCATGGATGGGTTTGCTTGACACCCTGAGCCAGAGGAGAACTGTCACTCTTGGGAGGGTATCTCAGCCTCAGGGATGCATTGGGGATGGAAACAGGGCTGTCTTGGGACAGTGTGCTGGATTTATTACACCTAAGCTTCAGCTGTCTGGAAGGTGGCTGCAGCTGCAGGATAGGAGCTCAGAAGTAAAGGATGCAGTTTGGGGTCTGTGTGAAGTGCCTGAGGCCAGAGCTGGGAGTTTGACTTGCAAGACCTCATGAGAGTCAGCAAATGAGCAACTTTCTTCACCTCAGAGTGGCCCAGTGCCAGCCATTTCCTTCTTCCCTTTCCTCCTGACACAAGGATGCCACCTCAGATGCTGTGTACAGCACTGAGACCTTGGCCTTTCTTGAGGATGTGCACATCAGGTTTGTCAGTGACAGGCAGAGAAGGGCAAACCTCAACTCTTTGATCCTGCAGAAGGGGGAGCACCTGGGAGTGAGCAAGCACAAAGGGAGGGCAGCAGTTTGCCTTGTGTTGTTCTAGCCTTGGTTCCTGCTGCATCCAGGATCTGGGAGTATGACTCCAGAAACATTTGTGTGATGGGGCAAGTGCTGAGGATAAGTGCCACAGCTTTTTCACCAGAGAAATAAATGAACCTGCCATGCAAACTCCTGCAAAAAACCCCCCATGCTTTGGTGGTAAAAATCACATTTGTTCTTGGGGTCAGTGTGGAGCTGTCTATGTTGGCTCACCCTTGTTAAGAATCAGAAAAGTTGACTGTCAGGTGTTTTCCAGGAATATATCAAAAAGGCACAGGGAGGTGATCTGGCAGATAAAAATTGTATCCATTGTGTGTCCAACCAAAAGTGGAATGCCATCTTTCAGGCTTTCAGTGCTCATTGGAGTGGGACCTACCAATGGTGGTAATGAAGTTGTCATAGGTGTGGAAAAGCTGATTTCAGTGTAAGGACAGCAGGGAGGTGGGCTGTGGTGCCAGGTGTTGTTTCATTTTAAACAGCAGCACAGCCCCAGTGTCAGATGTGTCTGGCTTCTTGCAGGCTGGGAGAAAACAGCTCACTTAATGCTTTACTTATATAAAAGTATCTTTCATTTGCAGCAACAAAACTTCAAGCAGAAGGTTGTGGCGTTGCTGAAGAGGTTTAAAGTGTCTGATGAGGTGAGTGATTCTCTCTGTAAACCTCCCTGCCTTGTGTGCTGCCCTCTGCTTGGGGCATCTTGCTTTAGTCTTCAGGAACACTGCCCTGTTTCCTCCTGTTCCCTTCATTTTGTTTTCAAGTCCACAGTGGATGTGACCTTTCCTTACACCCTGGCCTTGCAGGGAGGCTTAAGGGCCAACTTCTAAATGTCAACAAGCATTTTGTAGATGCAGTTTTATCCAAAGCAGATTTTGGCAGCTGTGTGTGTACCCATTAGTTTTGCAGATTGCTTTGAAATTATCTTTGACCCGTTCAAAGGCAAGCAGTCCAAATGGTGTGTATTGCTTGTGAAGTTAAAGCCCAGCCTGTTTGATCATCTTACTAGAACAGCCAGGCCAGACATGAAAAACTTGGATAGGGAGCTCAGTCCACAAGAGTCAGCTGCTTGCTCAGAGCAGAAGAGGATGAAACAGGTCCAAACCCCAAGAAACCTGTGTAGCATTAAGTATCTAACACAAAAGCAGTTAACATCTCCTTTGGCTGCGTGGCTGTGTGCTGATGCTGTGGCTTGTGGGAAGGAGTGAGTAACTCCTCGTGCTGCCTGACCCTTCCAAGCAGTCCTGTTGGCTTTGCTGGTCTTCCCAAGTCAGCTCGGCAGAGTCAGCACCCACAGCTGGGAGCTCGAGCTGCTGCTTTTTTCTGGAGCTGCTGCTCCAGAAGCAAGCTCTGGGCAGGGCACAGCCCCTGTGTGCTCCGGGGTGTGTGTGAAGCAAGTTCAGTGTCAGGGGTTTGTTCTCCCTGCCTCGGCCGTGGCAGCGGATCCTCCTCCGGGTTTCAGGCGCCTCCTGTGGACATTTTTGGGTATCAAATCAGGAGGCGTCAGGGCGGCTTTTTCAGTAAAAACCAGTACATGCTGCACTGTTGGGAATACTGGAATTTTGTACTGGTTCTAGGAAGAATGAGATTCCTTTGGAGCTTTAAAGCTTTGTTTATAAAATGGGGTTGAATAGTGGACATAACCAATGGCATGCTCATGGATGCCTGGTCCATTATGTAACTCCTGCTTAACCAGGCATTGACAAGCTTGATCCAAGACAAGCATTTCTCATATGCTTGATGTTCCTTGGATATAGTATCCAACACCAGGAATAGAATCTCACTCCCAGAAGTGGTGTACTGCAATCATGGGGGGAGCATGGATGATGTGGGATCAGTCTGGCTCCTAGCAGAGCTGATGACACCTGTTTTTTGTCCTGTGTAGGTTCTGGATTCGGAGCAGGACCCAGCAGAGCACGTTCCAGAGGTGGAGGAGGATTTGGACCTTCTGTATGACACTCTGGATATAGAGAATCCCAGTGACAGTGGGCCAGAAATGGAGGATGATGACAGTGTCTTGAGCACTCCAAAGCCAAAGTTAAAGTAAGTGTGAGGCAGCTTATGCTGGGTTGGAGAGAGACCATGTGCAGTGTCAGATGTTGGTTTTATTCCCACCCTTCCATGCTCTTTTTTTCCCCTCCTGACATGGTGATGTTATAATGGGAGTGACAGCTTGTGATCTAGAGGTGTGTGGGGTCTGACTTCCCTTCAGTCCAGTTCTTCCTTGTTCCCTTTGCAGATGTTCTGCTGCCCTGCCACCTGAGCACAGGGACGGTAGTAGAAGCAGGAAGGAAATGTGTGCTAAGGCAGGAGTAGAGGCAGGGATGAACAAGGCACACTGTCTTTCTGGAAAGACCTTTCCTGTGATAACACCCTGTGTGGAAAGAGAGTCTTTGCAGGGATTAAGGAAGCAGAGCTGCAGGAAACAAATGGATTCCTGGGGGCCCAAAGGCATTGACTGCAGCACACGTGGATGTGCTCAAGCCTGTTGTTAAAGTGCTCCTGTGGGTCAGTCCCAGCACTGTGGAGCTGAGCTGGGGGTTGCTGGCTTGGGGTCTCGAGCAGATGCAGAGCCCTGAGCTAACAGAGCTGTGTCACACTCTGCTCAATACAGCCTGAAAACGTGAGACTGAGCTGCACTCCTGCTTCTGGCTGGTGTGTGGTTGCATGCTCAGGCCCTCAGTGTGTGATGGCTCTGAAACAGAGAATTATGGCACTGACCACTGCAGCTGGTCAGTACAGCATCTGCTAAATCTGCTAATTACCAGGTGTCATTATGGCCTCATTAATATTGAATAACCTCATTGGGCTAAGAGTAGATTCTGGGTCTGGAGAGAGCTGTTCCCTGTCAGTGAGCCAGGAGATGTCAAGGATAGACTGGGGCAGCAGTGGAAATGGTGGGGCTGCTAGCATGTAAAGGTGTTTGGTGCTTAACCCAAGATACCAGCCAGCTGGTTGGCCCTCTCTTGAAGGGATTTGAAACTAGATACCTTGTGGTAAGCAGCTGCTTTGAACCAAGCCAAAATATTCTACTCTGCACACTGGGAGTTCATATCCTGTTCCCTGGAGCTGAGGAGCAAACTGTGCTGGGATATGTGATTGCTGGAGTAATGCTGGAATGAGAACTTAATGTGTGTGGTCCTGGGGAGACACTCTGTAGTTTCCTAGGTCCAGTTCTGGTGTTCATATCTTGAAGAGGATGTGATAAATGTTGATGGCTTTGAGGGAGGTTTTTCCCATGACAACAAAAAATCAGTTCCTTACGTTGTAATTGAGTCTTGTAGCCTGATGTGATGAGCTGCCTTTTGAGCAGAAGCACAATCTGATTGTGTGTGGTACCTTATCTTACTGAGCAAATGTGTAACTGGAGCCTAGGGCTTGCAGCCAAATCCAGATGCAAGCTGGAAACAAAATGTATATTAGCCCAAGAATCACTTACCCAGGAGCAGAGTGTTGGGGTGTGGGGGAAGCAGTAATTCTGCTTGCTGTATATCAGTCAGAAGCTAGATTCAGAAATGCCTGGACTTTCTGGCTTCTCTTCCTGTCCTGGACACCCTTCTCTCCTTTCAAAAGTAGCCTGTTTCTACTGGAACCATTGGGGAGCACTAAGTTCTTCTGGGAACTGTCGTGCTGCTTTGATGTGAGTGTGGTGGACTTGCCCTGTCAGTGTTTTTAGTAATAAGAAATGGGTTTTACTTTTCTTATTCAGACCTTACTTTGAAGGACTGTCACACTCCAGCTCTCAGACAGAAATTGGTAGCATCCACAGCATCAGGAGCCAGAGAGAGCCACCAAGTCCTGTAAGTCACATTTCAAGTGTTACCTCTCTGCACTCACTCTAATTGCATGTGTAAAATAAACCCTCTCTGACACTTTTTGGGGATTTTTTTGGCCAGTTTGGGGTTTTTGTTTTGTTTTAGTTTTTTTAATGCAAATATCCTATTAACTCAAAGATGCATCTTCAGGTTATGTATTGAATACTTGCTGATGGTGTGAATAGCTTCAGATTCTTATGTGCATTAAATGACTGCCAAGATGGGAGACAGTGCCTGGGAGTTTTAGGGACTTCCTAGCACTCTGGAGGAAGTTTTTCTTTGCTGTTGTTTTTCCTGGTGGCTGACAGTGAATGGTCAAGGACAGCTCAGCTGCTTTTCCATTCCCTCCTGAATGGGAAGAAAGTGTCAGTCCCATCCCAGAGCATTTCATTGCCTCTCCTGTGTGCTGTGCATCAGCTTTGCCACATCTCACAGTGATGTGTGCAGTCCTGGTGTGAGCAGGGAGCAGTGCTGGCCATACTGCAGAGCTGTGTGATGTTTAAATGGAGAAGCCTCTCTTCTGAACAGCCTGACCCAGAGAACTGGAAACTGTGCTGCTGCTAAACCTCCTGAGGATCTTTCTTCTCTCAAGCAGGTAGAAGTGCCTGAAAAGACAAAGAGTCTTGGAACCAAACATGCAGGCGACAGTGTTTCTGACACCGTCCCTTATGTAAGTTGAAAATGGACTTGTTGACCTTCCTGCTGTCAGTTTGGGTGTCAGCTGTGGGCTGCATTCTGTGGGGTGCATCTGTCTGTCCATATAGCTGCACATGCAACACAACTTCCACAGGTAACATCAGCTGCAGTGAAGATAGCACTGAGTTCTCCTCCTAGTCTTAGTCTGGAGCTTCTTGTCTTTCAGCCTTTTGCAGGTGAAATGCTCTATTTGACCTTTTGTTCAAACAGCCTGAGGAGGAAGGCTGGCCCAAAGTTTGCTACTGAGCACGTAAAGGATGCTCAAGGCTGTTCCATTTTATCAGACAGAAGTATTTAAGCTGAGTTGGCAGAAATCAAGCTGATCCTGAGGTAAAAATCCCAAAGCTCATGTTGCTCTGCTGGGAACATGGGGTGTGTAACATTTCTCTCATGTCTTTCTCTCCAGCTAGTTTGTTTGGGTAAGATGAATTCAGCTGCATTGCATGAGGAGGCATGTCCTTGGCTTTGAGCTGTGAGAGTGCCTGTTCCAAACAGCATCTCTGAATCCCTTTCCTACCTCCAGCTCCCTTGTAAGGTAGAGCTGGGAATGGGTAGCCCCAGATAGCCACTACTGGTTTCCCCCTTTTGGCAGTGAGCAGGATGTCTGGAAGAGGCAGGCTCAATGTGCCCCAGCCAGAGCTAAGCTCCCAAGGTGAGACAGAGGGGAGGGTTTGTTCCTAGTAACTCTGCTCCCTGTGTTTTTGCAGGAGTCTAACCAGCAAGCTGAGGTCCAGGAGGCTGAACTTCCCACTCCAGACGTGTTTGTGGAGAAGCTCCCACCCAGTGGGAAGATCACAAAGACGGAGTCCCTCATCATCCCATCCACCAGGTACAGGGCTGTGCATGCTGCAGCCTGTCAGGAAGTCATGGACAGTGTGCTAGGACTTTGTCAGGGTGGCTTTAAGCTGCAAGGAGACCCTCCCTGTGTTTGGGCACTTAAGTGATCGGTCTGGAGCACTCGGTAAAGGAATGCCCAGAGGATTCTGTGCTGCTCTGGGGTGTGTGATTGCAGTTTGCCTGGCTGAGTCTTGTGATGCTGCTGTAGCAACAGCAGAGAGGTGGTGTGGGTGTTAGCACGGGCTGTGGAAGTCATCCTGGGACTCCTGGGAATGTGCTGAGCTGTGAGCTGTGCTGTCAGAAGCAGAATCACCCGGGCTCAGGCTAGCTCAGGTCTCCGTGCAGAATTGCCCAGTGCTTCTGCTGGCATCACTGAGGCTGCCAGACGGGGCGGTGGGGCTCGGGGGGCTGTGTCTCACTCAGAAGTGTGCCTGCCCTGGCAATGCAAGCACGTCTCTGCAGCAGGTCTGAAGGGAAGCAGACGGGGCGCCGGGGCAGAAGCACATCCCTGAAGGAGCGGCAGCCGGTGAGGCCGCAGAACGAGCGAGCCAACAGCCTGGACAACGAGCGCTCCCCGGACACCCGGCACCACCTGCAGGTGGGCAGGACACTGCTGGCCCTCCAGCCGCTCAGTTTTCCTCTTCTCCACTCTCTCCTTTTCCTTCTGGTTCAAGCTCTGTCCCTGCTGGGAAGGAACTGGGCCCCGCAGCTTCAGGAAGGAGGGAATTTATGTCTTGGCTAAAATTTTATCTTCCATCCAGTCTGCTGGGGTTTGCCAGTTTGCAGCTTTGTCAGCCAGCCATGAACTCAAAACACAGGACCAGATTGTTAGAATGAGAAATGAATCAGGGTGTGTTGAGAAGTTACTCCTTTGAAGTAAGGCAGATTGCTAGGGACTGTCTTGTGCACAGCATATGTGCCATGCTTTTGTTAGCTGTGGGACTCACTTATTTCCCTCCTTGAAGGAAAGTGTTCCTGGCTTTTATGAATCTTAAGTTTCTAGGTTGCTGTTAGTTGATATAAAGTGATGTAAATAAAAGTGCATGGCAGAAAGAGTATTGGCCAACAGATCCATGGTGGCTAATACTGAAGAGCTGCAGAGTGTCAGCAGCCCAGTGTGCCTTTGCTGATGGGGTGACTGGCCAGCATGCACATCAATTGCAAGAGCTGGAGCTGGTGGCTTGCTGGCTAGAGCTGACACCTCTTACTGTTCCTTCTCTGTGTCTTTATTTCCAGATCCCCAGGAAAACAGTGTATGATCAGCTGAATCACATCCTGGTTTCTGACGACCAGCTGCCAGAAAACATTATTCTAGTCAATACATCTGACTGGCAAGGCCAGGTAAGGGCAGCAGACATTACCTGGAGCACAGTTCTCCTGCACTGTTCTTCCTCAGGCATGGACAGACAGGCCTTGAGCTCTGCACTAGCCAAGCAGGTTGTGCTGCCTGCAAAGTGCTCAGTGCCCACAGGCTGGATTTCATCTGGCCAGGAGGTGCTGGGGTCTTATAAAGCTTTGCCACTTGAGCCTTTCCACAGAGGTGTTTTCTCCTCCAAGCAATGCCATTCCTTCTGGTTAGCAGCACACTGGGAGTATGGCTAAACCCTTGCACTCAAAATCCTCCTAAACTGTGGTAGACTGGGACAAAGGAAGCAGGGAGGTGTGATCTTGTCGTGGTTTAGGCTGAGATTTCTGAGCACAGGTGGTGAACAGGAGAAAATATTTTGTATCAATTCTGTGGCCATTTACGTGTGCCTGTGACTGCTGACTGCAGGAATCACCCCATCCTTGCTGAGTGATGGTTGTTTTAAGGAGAACCCTGAGCAATACTTTCTTTTGCTGACAACGTGGAGTGATTTGTTATGGGTTTGGAACAAATTTTGCTCCTTTTGGAACATTATTCTGAGAAAGCAATAAAATATGTATGGAAGAGGACCAATGAACATGTGCTGGGTGGCTGCTGCCTGGGGAACTTGTGCCAGGCTTGTGGAGTTGCAGTGTCTGGTTTGGCTTTCTGTTTCTGGAAGAACTAGGGTCTCAATGTGTGAGAGAGCAAAAATACCATCTGAACTGCTGGTTCCACTTTCTCTATACTTGGAAGACAGAGAAATGCCTTCTAGAGATAGACAGAAGGTGTTGTAGATCATCTTCCAGGGGTTCTGGCAGCTTGTGCCTGCAGTATTAGAGGGCATCAGTGATATGGACTGGGGTGTATAGATTAGCCATGCAGAAATTGGAAGTGTAAGATAATTACTGAGTACCGTAATTATGTCCCTGTGTACCTGAGGTGTGTGGTGTCCCCATCAGCTGCATGGAGGGGAAACAGTCCCTCAAAAGGAACATGTGTGTGGTAGCACCCTTCCCTTTTTTCAGTGTTTAAGGGTGGGCAGAGCATTGCATTTCTTTAAAATGGATATCAGAGACATGCAGCTGTGCTGCCAGAAGCAGGCAGGTAAAAGTGCCTGCTCTTTCCCAGAGCTGTCTGCTCAGTGAATGGTCTGCTGGCCCTGCCCTCTGTGGCTGTAAAAACTGCTGCATGTTTGGGACATGGTGTTGTGTCTGTCAATAAGGTGTTGCCATTTTTCTAAAAGGGGAACTTTCCTTTGGCTGCTTTGCATGGAGGATGCATTTGTGAAGTAGCCATATCACCTTCAGACACAGGGAGAGTGCCCAGGAGTGGGTGTGAGAATACCCAGGAGGTTGAGGAAGGCACATTTTCTTCTTTTGACAAACTGTACTGAAAAAAGGACTAAAAAGTGTTCTGTTCTCTCCTCAGTACCTTTCAGATGTCTTGCAAAAGCACACCTTGCCAGTGGTCTGCACATGTTCCTCTGCTGATATTCAGGCAGCTTTCAGCACAATTGTCTCCAGGATACAGAGATAGTAAGTTCTCACCTTGCTTGTGTTGTCTCAGCCCTAAAAGCCTCTCAGCTGCTGTGCCCCAGGACTCAGGGAGTTCATTTCTCAACTCCTGCATGAAACCTTTCCAGTCTGCTCTCCTGAAGTCAGAATTGAATTGTGTGGCTCTTCAAGAACCGTGTGGCTCTCCAGCACTCACCACCCTGCAGGGGACTGCTGTTCTGCCTCCTGTGGGGCGTGCAGGTCACAGCAGCATGAGCAGCTCAGAGGCTGAGCCTTGGAGGCTGCCTCAGGGGTGCAGTGCATGCACCACTAAAGCATGCAAAACAAATAAGGGGGTTTTAAATAGTTCTTGCTCTCCCTTCCAAACAATTCCCAGATTCATTCCTCAGTTCCTAAAGGCACTCCCTACTTATCTGCTGGGGGCTGTGGGTACCCAAATGTGTTCTCTGACCCAGCAGTTAGTAGGTACATCCTAACCTAGATAGTCGAGCCAAACCCTTTAGAATGTCAAAATGTGCAAAAGAAGGAGCAGGGAGACCAATTAAGAAATTACTGAAGAATGTTGTATTTTATTAATAATGTTTTAAACTGCTGAGAATCGTTGCAGTATTGCCTTGTGTGTTGAACAAACTCTCTTCTGCTATAATTGTTATTAACCAGTTGGGGGTTTTTTTTGCTGCTTGTTCTGAAATACGTGGTTGAAGGCACAATTACAAATATGTTTCCTCTTTTTCTGTCTAGCTGTAACTGCAATTCACAGCCTCCAAACCCAATTAAAATTGCAGTGGCAGGAGCCCAGAATTACCTCAGTGCTGTGTTGAGGCTCTTTGTAGAGCAGCTGTCTCACAAAACCCCCGACTGGCTCGGCTACATGAAATTTCTGATCATCCCTCTAGGTAAATAAGGAATGATGTTTCTTCACAGGAAGGGGAATGGGTGAAATCTGCTGTGGTCCCTCAGGAGAAGCTTTTCTGGAGCTTTGGCTATAGGTTAAATGAGGCAAATTGTTACATGACTGTGTAGTGCTGGTGTTGCTGCTCTTGTGGGAGTGCATTTCATCTCTAACTTCCTGATCCCAAAGTCTGCTTGTAAGCCTTTTGCTTGAAGCAAGGGGTTAAGTACTTCCTCCCCATACAGGGAAGCTCTCATGCACTGAATATTGTTCTGGAAACCCTTTTCCCTGGCTGCAATGTTAAATTCAGTGGGCACCATGTTTCCCAAAGCAATAACTGTTCTGGCCTCCCTGGGCTTGACTCAGAAAATGTTAAGAGGAGGGGTTTAAAATTTTTAAAAGGCTCTGAAACTGCTGAGAATTTGAATTATTCAAATTACATTCATCTCTTGACCTTTACTTTGTGTGCTGATCTGCTCAGGTTTTTCCCTCAGTTTTCCAACACTTTATCTCTGCCCTTTCAGCAGCTCAGCAAGCCTGCCTGGCTGGAACATTCCCCAGCTTGGATTGCTTGTGCTGAGGGAGGTAGAGTGCACTGATAGCAGCACCAGGGTCCTGGTGTGGTCAGGAACATGAGGAATGTGGTGGTGGCAAGGCCTGGGAAGCAGGGGGAGTCACTGGTGCTGTGGGCAGGGACATCTGGGCACTGCTGGTGGGCTCCAGGGCTTGACTTGTGTGGACAGAGCACTTAAGTGATGTAAGCAACAGAACACTTGAAAAGCACTTTTTGGCAGTGTTCTCCAGTTTTCTGAGTTTGGGAGCAGCTGATGGAAGTTCCTGTAGGAATCAGAAGCTGCTGCCCAGCACCATGAACACTGGGGTTGGGCTGTCCATTCAGTGGTGGTATTTGCAAAAGTTAGATTAAAAAAGGCAGAGGAAAAGAACTGGATCCTTCTGTAAAAAAATGCATTTTGTTTCCAAAGTGGTTGGCAGGAAGAGAAGAGAGAGCCCTTTAGGGAGTAAAAATAAAAAAAAATATTAATTTCTGCAAGGTTAAATGTGCTTTGAATGAGAATCTGTGACTTGGCTGCTCACTTGCTGACTGTCTCCTGGCCTCAGAAGAAGTTTTCTGTCCTGCAGTGTTTAATGAGTTGAAAAGATTCTCTCTTTGAAAGTGAAACACAAGATTTAGCTAGTGTTTGCATTTAGGTTGGTTTTTTAATCTTAAAACTTTGTTTTGTAATAAAAAAAATTAAGCAGGCACTTTGATAATGAAATGCTTTAGAACTGTGAATTCTTTTGAGATTCTACTTTAAATATAGAAACTTCTCTAACAGGATCTTTTCCACAGAAGTCTGCAGTATTTCCTGATAGGATCAAGTGCTTATTTCTGGCCAGCTCTCTGGCAGTTCATTAAAGTGATTGAGGGGCCACCTCTCATTTCTGACAATTGAAAAAGTACCAAAGACAGAATGGTGACCATGCCATAAATGTCTTAAAGGAAAAGCCTCTCTGCTGCTTGCAATACCTTTGAAGTAGGGTTGCTGGTGGTTTTTCCATGGATGGTTTTACCTTCTGAGTCCACAGCTACACACTGCAGTGACAGAAGGGTCAACCCTCAGTGCTTTATTAGCAATCAGAAATGCTCAGTGTCTGCAAACATAGGAACTGGGAGATTCAGTCCTGCTCCATGCCACTGATTCCATGGCTGTAAGACTCCTCTGCTGTCTAAGGCACTGTGTCATAGCTGAAAAGGGGAAAATAAAATGTTGAGGGGTTATTTTGGCTGTTTGGGGTATTTTAACATTTTATATAGCTCCCATGGGTAGGGCTTCTTGGGAGGCTTTGCTGTTGATTGCTTGTTTCCATGTGCAGTGTGTGGGAAAGCTTCTCCAGTACACAGCTCCGAGCTGTGATGTGTGCCCAGCTCAAAACTGCCCTGCAGGGGAAGTGATGGGTCCCAGTCTCTGCTGACACTGAGGGCAGCTCAGGGGGACCTCCAGCTTTCACCTCCCTTTGAGGGCTGGAAATCAGCTTGGAGGTTTGGAGCACTGAGACAGTGGGTTTATTGTTTGGGGTTTTTTTTCCCCCAGAGCTTTCCTGGACCATGGTGAGTACAGTTAAGCAACTGGGGTCATCTTGAATGGATTTGTCAGGTTTCCAGTTACCAGCTGGTGACTCAGCTGTCTGGAAGTGTGGCTTGATGGGCAAATTTGGTGTGCAGGAAGGATGAAAATAATGTGATTAAGAGGAGCTCTGAGGCTGCTTCATGGCTGAGTGTAAATGTACAGGGCTGGTGCTGAGCATCACTGCCAGGTGGTGGCTGGGCAGGGTGGTCCTGGCACACCTTTTCTCCTGTGTTCAAAGACTGTAGAGGTGATTGCTAGGGGGTGTTGTCTGTTTTGGGGACACAGATGGCCTGAAATGAAGGTGGCGACTTTTTGCCACCTCCCAGGGCAGATTTTGTCACTTGAATACCTTCCCTGTACTGCTCAGTGTAAGCATGCAGTCAGATCTCTGTGCAGGGCTGGAGGCTGGAACACAAAGCTTCTGCAGGAGGTCTTTCCTTGCTCATGGAGGAGCTGAGCCACGAGGCTCAGCCAGAGTAAGGAGGGACCTGCTGCACGTGCCAGTGTTCACTGGGTACTGTAATCCTGGGGCTCTGCTTTCTGCCTCAAATTTCAGCGTATTTATTGAGCTTGTAACCCTTCTCTACAGATTAAACAAGTCTCCCTGGGTTGTTTTTCCTGCCTGGGGGCAATTGCCTCCTCTCAGTGTTGCAGAACAGCTGTGGGATACAAAAATTCCTTGGAGGAAGGGGTCTGGCCCCTCCTGGCAGAGGTGGCCTGGCTGTGGTGCAGCCTATGGGCAGGAAGGGCTGTTTGGGAGAGCTGCTTGCAAAACTGAGAGACACGGAGAGCTGCAGAGGCTTTGTGCCTTCCAAATAATTTATTTCCTCAGCAGTTTCCCAGTCCTGTTTTTCTTTGGCCTTTTAAAATTTAATTTGTTAAGGGGAAGGTGTCAAGTAAAAGATAGCAGTGTGTTGAAGCAGTTTGCACTGGGAAGTCTATCTGCATGTTCTTGTAGAGATAAGCTGGACTAAATGACTTGGTTATAATTGAAGAAGTTTATTCCTGAGGTGTCAAGTGTGGTTTTGATTTTGGAGTTTAATTCCTTACAGATCAAACCCATGCTTGTGTTCAGTGCTGGAGAGCACAGCTGTCATGTTTTCCTTTCTTTCTTAGGCTCTCATCCAGTGGCCAAGTATCTGGGGTCTGTAGATTATAGATACAACAACTTCTTCCAAGATCTAGCCTGGAGAGATCTGTTCAACAAGCTTGAAGCACAGACCACTGGTAAGACTCTGTGTCTGTCTGGCCTGTGTGGGATGAAAAGCTTGAGTGAGTAATTTTAGCAGAGGTCAAGTAAATACAAGAGGAAGCAGACAAGTGTTTTTGTTCCTCTTTTCTCCTCACTCCACCACATTCCCATTTCAGATGCTGACCTTTCTAAGTCTTGCCCATGGTGGTTTGCAAACAGTTCTTGGCTCCCAGAGGCACTAACTAGCTCTTGTGAGTCATGCTGTTCTTACCTAGCTCTCAGCTTTGCTCTTTGATGTGGAGGTCTTGCTCCTGAGTTCAGTACATTGCTTTCCTTCAGGAACTGTGCAGCCTGAAATGTTTGGAAAACTGGAAGCTCTGGGAAGATTAACTTCTGTTAGTTGTGTGTGAGAAAGATCCTACCAACAGACTTGAAAACATTCTTATTAAAGAAGAATTTTGTTCTTCACCAGTGTGGTAACAAGTGGGAGCTGCCCTAGGTCAGACCAACAAGTTCCTGTTCTGATCCGGGTTTCTAGGCCAGATTAAAGCCTTACTCCAGTTAAAATACTGATCTGTTTAAAATATGAATGCTTGCAGTATCTTCCTCCATTTCTTCAGGAATGGAAAGAAACAGGAGAAAGGAGGATTTCACATTCAGGGCTACGTGAAGGCTTGAGATTTGATGCTGTTGTGGGCAGCATTGCCCACACAGAAATTTCATTAGAAGGAAAAAGCTTTGGACTTTGTGCAGCACCAAGAGTGTGGGGAGGTTGCAATGTGGTTCTCCCTGCTGGAATTGCAGGGTTCCTGAGACTCCCAGGATGCTCCTGGAAGTCCTCTAGCCATGAGAGGAGGAGAGAGACCTCTTCTGGAGTAATTGTTCAGAGCTGTTTCCAGCAGATGGGGACAGGGCTGGACGAGGCCTGGGGCAGCCTGTTCTGAAGGTGGTCAGCCCTGTTTGGAGCAGGAGGCTGGACTAGATATGTCCTAGTGTGCTGTCCAAGCTACACTTTCCCTTAATCCTGAATTCAGGGAAGAACTGGTGTATGGAACTGGTTTCCTTTAATTGCTTGGTGCACTTGAAAATGCAGAAAAATGTCAATACAGACTTGATTTTTGTGTCTGAATTAGGAATACTTCATTACCTGTAGAAATCCAGAAAGAGCCATATCTGTTCCTTACTTGGTTGTGTGAGGAAACCATCCAGCTAAGAGGAAGAATCCACCTCATTTTTTTTATAGTGCAGACTTTGTACATTCTGCATTTTGGTCTGTGGGATGACAGCTGCACAGGAACTCTGTAATGGCACAAGGAGATCTGGCAGAGAACCATAACTCTTACCAGTTCACTGTTCAAATACAAAGAGTCTGGGTTGAAATGCCCATTTTAAAGTATGGAAGTGCCTGTTGAAGGTCACTTGTGTTCCTGGGATCTCACAGTTGAGTCCCTTTGGTTGAAATCAAAGAAATATGGAAGGCATTTAAGAAATGTCTTTGTGTCAACTTGAATGAACCACAGTCTCACAAAATCACAGGATCTTTGTACTCTTCCTCCCTTGTGTGTCCCTCTGTCTTTTTGGTCAGCTTAGCAAGGCCATGAGTTCAATAGAAACTCAGGTAACTCAGTGCTGGTGTGAGCAGAGCAGCTCACGTGGGGGACTGGCCAGCCACTTTCTTCAGGAGATACCTGCAGCCAAGGTGTGAAAGAGTCTAAAGCTGTCTCTGGGACAAAGAAAAGCTTTTAACAAATCTAGAAGACCCCAGATTCAGTCAGAAATGCTGAGTACAGATTCAGCTTTACTGTGCTCTGGGGTAGGCAGAGCTTCCTGTGCAAGGTGCAGAGCTGGCTGGGCAGTACCAGCAGGTGGAGGACAGGGCTGGTAGGGGTCTGAGGAGGACAGGGCTGGCAGGGCTCTGAGGGAGGACAGGGCTGGCAGGGCTCTGAGCAGTCATTTGAATGCTTTTCCCTCTGTTCCCTGCAGTTTCAGAGGCGCCCGACGTCGTGTCCCGGATAACGCAGTACATTGCAGGGGCAAACTGTGCTCACCAGCTGCCCATTGCTGAAGCCATGCTGACCTACAAACAGAAGAGGTATGACCCCCTCGTCCTGCTGGCTCCCAGCAGAGCAGCTGCTTGAGAGCAAAGTGCTTTTCTCATGTCGTGCCAGCAGTCTGAAAACCAAATGGCAAAGCCCTTGGGGGCCTGCACCCAGTGGTGTGTTCCACTCAGTGAATCTACAGCAGTAGGGTTACTTTAGGTGCAGAGATTCTGGTTTTTGAAGATATAAGAGGTCTGGGGAAGTGCAGGCTAAGCAGGATGGGGATGGACAGGTTTTATGTGCTTAGGTTCCAGAGATCTCTCACCACAGCGACCTTAGGTGTGTGAGACTTGACCTTGGCATTCTCCCACAAAGTATTTTCTGTGAGACCTGACCTTTTTACATTGGCATTTAAGGAACTAAGCCCCTTTCTTTTTGGAGTGTAAATAGCAGAGCTTCTTGCAGGAGAGACAAAATCCTTATTGATTGGCAGTTGCAAGCTACCAGGACTCCTGCTGAGGAGGGCTGACATTCACCAGATTTCATTTCAACTTTTCTTAAGGGATAAGCAGGCTGTAGGAGAGAGGACTGGGGCCTGAAAACAAGATTCAGGAGTAGGTAGGGCTTCCTGTGGCTATGGTCCAGGAAGAAAAGTAACTGTCACTGAAGGGTAGAGAAGCACTGTTATCAAGGGACAGAGGAGAATGATAGATTTGAACTCAGTTGATGTGAGTTTCCTCAGTTAGAGACTAACAACTCCCTGTGAGACATGGATGTTGTTAATTTTTAATTACTTCTATTTGATTTTTCATTTTTAGTCCATTAACATCCCTTATTAGTGTCTCCTTTGCCTAAGAATTTGAGAAATTGAAAGTGTGGGTAGCGTCACTTTCCCTCCTTCTTTTTGGAAATTCTCATCCTGTATTGCTTTTGCATTCCTGTGGAATTCCTGTCTGCTCTCATATTACTGTGCAGAAATGATTCAGTGAAATTGCACCCATTGTACATGTATTTCCTGTATTTCCAGACTGACTAGTCAAGTAAAAGAGACTAGTCTAGTCTCTTCATGTATTTGTGGACTTCTGTTAAAGTTAACATGATAATAAGGATGAAATTTAAAGAGCTACAGAGCACTTGAAGCTCTTGCCTTCAGTTTTGCATTTTGTTTTTCGTGTGAAGGCTTACCTTGGTTAGCTCAGACACCCCAGTGCAGTGGGAATCCCTTCTGAGGCTGCCTGGTTCTTCCTCTGCACCCTTCAGGTGCTGCGTTCTGCACTGCTTTCCACTGCCTCCTCCATTCTGTTACAGCTTCATTTTTGTCATTATCACACATTTAAAGGTTTTGAGTTTCTAATGTGTCCAGAAGGTCAATTCAGCATTTTGTTGGAAAAGAGCAGACATGTATTTGAGCAGCCCCTGCCCTTATCCCTCCCAGCAGTGTACAGGACTGCTTTGCCAGGCTGGTCTGAGCCGTTTGGGTTTGACACCCTTTGGACTCTGATGCCACGCCTGAACTGTTCACAGTTTTCATTTAGGAGGTTTTTGGGAAGAGACATTGCTGAAACTCACGCTCACACTCTGGCATAACCTGCAATCTGTCAGTATTTCTGTGTGTCTGCCTCAAAATATCTTGTGCTTTCAGGTCAGTACCCCATGAGCAAAGGACAAAGAGGCTCTCAGTGGAGCATGGGCAGTTGTCCTCTGGGTGCCTTCCTTTAGGAATGGGGGTCTCTGTCACTGGCAGCAGCTCAGGAAGGGTGCTGTTAAAAACAACACAGTAATTGTGTCTCCATTAGCACTATCTAAACAAATGTATCACTTTGTTGTAACTATAATAACACATTTATCTTTTTCTTTGGTTGCTTGCTGAAAAGGAAAAAGAGCTTTCATTTTGATTTTACCATAAGGTATCAGTTCTTTTTAGGTTCCCTCTCCCAGCTCCTCTCTCTTTTCCCAGTGAACTGGTGATTTGTGCCTTGTTTAACAGCTCCTGCAGGTCTGGGATGCACAGTTTGTGATTTAGGTTTAATTCTGCTCGCTGCTTTGAAACCATGGCATCTGCTGGCAGAATGCATCCTTGAAAGTGACTGTTCTGCCTTTGGACCACACATTTAGGTTCCCAGGATTGAGTGGGAATGAAGGATTTGTTCAGAGAGTAGCTTAGAGCAGTACAACATGGAGAAGGTGGGTTTTTTCCCTTGCCTTTTCCCTTAGCCATCAGAAGATAGAGTGTAGCTCCAGAAGGATCAGGATTGAGAAAAGGCTTTTCAGTTCCCATCTGTTGGAACTGGAGTGCTGTAGGTGGCACTCAGTGCCTCAGGGTGGGATCAGCTGTGCAGTGTCCAAGTGCAGACCAGCAAATCTCCTCCCTGTGATCAAAAATTTGAGGGCTAGTCTCTTACTGGCAGAGCATCCCAAACATGTGTGACTTCTCTAAGCTTAAGAAAGAGAAGACAGGTGTGTGCTAGCAGTGGAGCTGTGCTCTCTGAGCTGCTTCCAAAACCCCCATGCTCTGCAGGGTCCCCTGTTTTGAATCATATGATATTGGGCATTTTTTATTTTGTATTCAGCACACAAAGTTACTGCAATTCCCCACGTTGAGGCCAGAGGTGAATGGCTTCTCCAAGGCCAGCTTTCAAGGCAGTGGTCCAGGTAGAAAAAAGCAGCACTACCTACAAAATTCATTGCAAAAGACATCTCCCAGAATCCTGGCATTTGCTCTGTTAAACAAGTCCTAGTAGTGCAAGGAAAGCCAAGCCAGTCTCTAGGATGTAGCTGTATGTGATGAGCTGCTTTACAACTCTCTTGCCAGCTGTCCCTGTTCTGACTGACCCCGCTCTCTCCCCGTGCCCTTGTTCTGTTTGTCATGGCAAAGGTTGGCGCATGAACTGCCTGTGATGGACTGCAATGGTGCCAAAGCTTTGTCCTGGTCTTCTGGAGCATCTGCTGACCTTACCTGAAAGCAGAGGGGCTGGCTGTGAGGAAGGGGTTCACAAGGGAAATGAAGTGCCATTGCAGCTCCTCTGAGTTACACTGGGTGACTGACTCTGTCTGTGAGCTCTGGGAGAAGTCCTGGTTACTGAATTCTGAAGGAACAGTGCAATCCAGGCAACACCTGGGGAGCTGAGACCCTGGGGATGGGGTGGGCCTCTCACCAGGAGGGGCATGTCACTGATGTCTCTCTGCATTGCTCTCTTGAAAGAAGCCCTGTGGTATTTGAGGTCTGAGAGTCAGCGCTCACACATTCCCAGTGCAGCTGCTTTGCTGGGCTGGTGTCACCCACTGTAATTCAGTGCCCAGCACAGCTCATGCCATGTGGCTTCTGGACAGCCCTTGCATGAATCTGGGGAGCAGCCTGGCTGTTGGAAATGGAAGCTTTGTTCACTTGTCAGGGCAAGGGCTGGATCACTGCCTGCCTGGTTATGTGTTTACCAAAAACTTTTGGGAGCACTTCCCAGCTCTTGCTCCCAGTTCCCTTGGATTGGAGGGCTCCTGGGCTGTAGGAAGCACAGATTACACTGATCCTGCCTGCTGTGTGTCCCATAGGCCCTGCAGGGCAGTGGCTGAGCAGAGTCCAGGTCATTGCTCTGAGTGCTTCTCCTCAAACACACCCTGCAGCAGCTGCTGGATGTGGATCTGGCTGGCCAAGAGGGGCCTGGTCCCTCCTCTGGCTCAGCAGAGCTCATCTGACCTGCTGGTTACTGCAGGAAACTCCTTGGGCATCTGCTGGAAATGCAACGGGAGTGCAGCAGAGGAGAGTCAAGGAAATTATGGATGTCCTGTTGACTATGTCCAGCCCACCACAGGAAAGTGAAGAGTGCTGGAAAGGAGGTCTTTGGGAAGGCTGAGAGGAGATTCATCTGATGTGTCATGAGGACCTGGTGCTGCTTTGTCCCTTGTTTGATTTGGCCCTGGTGGAAGCAGGACAGTGTTAGCCAGCAGACAGCTGGAGTTGCCCAGTGGGCAGGACAGATTTCATGTCATAGGTGAGAGAAGAGCTGGTGGTGCCTGGTCTGAAATGGCCCAGAGTCCTTCAGTGACAGAAGTCCTCTTTCCTCTTGCCTCCTTCAGGACTTGAGTGGAATAAAGGTGGTGCCTGAGACTCTCCTGGTTAGAGAGATTGTTGTAGACACATTGGTAACTGCTAAAAATCACCAACTTGGGCTAGGTCTGGCTTTGAATTACAGCTGAGGTACCACAGCCTTCAGAAGCCCTGTGGGTAAAAAAAAAAAAAAAAGCCTTGGACTTGTGGGGTTAACCCTCTACAGCCTGGGAATCTGTGCAGCTGAGGCAATGAGGGGAAGCTGCCTTTCCAGAGATGGGAGATATTTTAGTTGCAGGGCTGTGGTAGGAGGAAGAATCAAAGCAGCTGTTACCAAGGTGAAAGGATTCTGAATTCATGTTTTGGGATCTTGAGATCCTGAAGAACAAAAATTGGGAAGAGTGTGAAGGAGGAAATGAAGAACAAGCACATCTCATCTTTTCTCTCTTCCACAAGAAGAGCAGCTGTTTTGATAAGCTGCATTTCCAGAGACACATGTGCAAGACCAGAGTTCCCAGGAGGACATGTGACAGGACTAGGCTAGCTGAGCTGAAATCCAGCTGGATTGCTTCAGGAACAGCCTGTGCATCGCTGTGAGCTGTGATAAATGGTGGCTGAAGCAAATGATGTATTTCAGAGTTGCCCCTGAACTCTCTGTAGTGGGAATCAGAGCTCCCAGGGGAACAAGAATGAGTTTTCTGCTGGAACTGGACATGATTGGTTTGTTCAGAGCTCGGAGCAAAGCCATCCAGTAGCTGAGAGATGACTGGATGGCTGTGGTGCTTCCCTCCCTTGGTGAGTGGGACTCACTTTCTGCCAGCCTCCAAGCCCATGGAGCCGAAGGAAAGAGAAGAGAGCTGAGCCTCTGTTCTGTGCCTCTCCCAACAGCTCTGTGGTTTTCTCCTTTCCTTTTGCAAACCAGGAGCTGGAAACGTCCTGTTTGTAGGAGATGTGTTTGCTGGGCCCTGCGGTTGAGTTGTGTTTGCAAAGATGGGACCGTCCTTCCTTCCAGCATGGAATCAGGGACTTGGTCACTTTGTCCTGTGCTTTAGGAGGACAGCGAGGATGCAGTGCCAGAGGGTGTGGAGGAAGGGAGCAAAGGCCTGGCTTTGCCTTAAGGGTGGATCAGCAGAGCTGAGCCAAAGCAAAAGGCTGTTTGCAAAATCATGTTCTGCTTTGGACCAGAGGGAGCTCTGGCTGAGTCATGTTCACTGCAGTTTTATGGCATCCTTTCCTTGGGGCTTAGAGGAAAGTGTCCAACCTGTGCTGATCACACAGGTTAACAACCTTTGTGCATTTGGTGCATTTCTGATTCATGCTGGAAACAGCACAGAAACATCTGCAGTATTTATGCTGCTCCCAGCTAAATTCTGGATGAAAGCAATGCTGGATGGATTTTTCTGAACACTGGGGGATGCACAGGAAGAGAAACATGAGAAGTCTCAGTGTTTGTCTGCTTACTACCTGTTTCCTGTGCTCAGTCACTGAGCAATATGTGTCTTGCCTGTGCAGTCACTTCCCTCTGCCGAACTGTAGTTCCTCCAAACATGTGGGTGTGCTCCTGTGGTCTTCTCCTCACCCTGTGGTCTGTCTCTGATCTCTGTTGCCACTGAAGGGAGCAATGGCTCTGCAGGCCCTTCTGGCCTGCCTTCCTCCTCATTCATCTCTTCCTCCTCGTGTCTTTGCCGATGTCCCCCTAATTCCTGCTGGGTTTGACTGTGGCCTTCACTGCCGGCCTTTCTCCACCCTCTGCTTCCCGGCATGCCCGGAGCAGAGCGGCGTTCCAGATGTGTGCGGTGTTGTCCCCAGCTGTTTCTGGGACTGGTGTGCCCTTTGCTGGGCTGGGTCCAGCTGTGGCCCGTGCCCCGGTGCCCGTGGAAGCTGCCAGCAGCAGGGAGGGTGCGTGAGGGCGCGTCCGTGCCGCTGCCTCGCCAGTAACGCGTGTCACGGCTTGTAACCCGCGGCAGGGCCGCTGCTCGGGGACGCGCAAGCCGTGGCTCCAAGGGGGGACGCCGGGAGGCCGCGGGCAGAGCGCCTCGCGTTCTAGTAAGTAACAACACCCGGGGCTCTGTGTTGTGGTGGCACAGATCATTTCCTCGCACTAGGAGGCCGTGTGTCTGTGGTGACTGCCGTGCCATCCAAGCATGTTTCTCTGTGGAGCGCGAGGGAGGGAGGAAGAGCCTTTCCCCCAGAGACTGCTGCAGGCTGTGCTCCTCCCGCCCCGCAGGCTCCTGGTGCTGGCAGGGGGCCTCGAAGGAGCCTTGGACTGGCGCTTGCATCCTGTCCGTCCCTGCTGCATGCTGGAATGCGACCCATGGAGTGAGTATGGTGCTGGGGTGGAGGCGAGCTGCTAACAACTCTCTTCTCTTTGCCTTTAGCCCCGACGAAGAATCTTCACAGAAGTTCATTCCCTTTGTCGGGGTGAGTGTTATTGTGGTGATGCTGTCTTAAGCAAGCTGGAATATGTTCTCAGGTGTTGACCTAAACCTGCCAGGTTTCTGGAGTTGAGCAGAAGCCATTGGGTGCTCTAAGGCAGATGATCAGCATGACAAGCTGTCCTGATGGTTGGATGCAGCTGCCTGATATTTGAGCAAACCTCTAAGACACTTCAGCAAACTACAGGGTGTATTTTACTTCTCAGACAGGAATGCCATGTGTCCCTGGAAACCTAATCAGAGGGATGCTGTGCCTAGCATTGCCCTGGTTGCTTGTTTTGGCCAAATTTGCTATTCCCGTGTCATTTCTCTGCATGCTTGCCACTGATGGTCTCCCATCCTCTTAGCATCCCATCTGTTCCTGGGAAGTAAATAGTACATCCTGGCAGGAAGACGATTTACACCACTGTTATTTATTTGGGATTGTCCCTCGTTTTTCCCCCTGTCCTTAAGTGTTCCCATCTGAGGTGCAGAGTGTCTGGACAGGGCCGTGTTTGTTCCTCTGTCACTGTATTTTGTGCACTGTGTGTTCTTTGCCTTTTCTAGCTTCCCTCCCCTTATTTGATCACGCTCTTCAATTCATTAAGTTTTAGGTGTAAAGTCATTGACCTGCAGCCAGAAGAAATCCCTTGGCTGCTCTTCAGCTCTGGGATGTCCTCTTCCCAGTTCCTGCTGCTGTCTTGCCCGCTGGCTTTGCTGTGGCTGCCTGGTGTGACACTGACATGTCCCCTCTGTGTCCCTGTGGTGCGTCAGAGCTCCTCTGAAATCCCAAGGCATTTAAAGAGCTTAGTCTCTCTTGCCCTCAGGCTGACCCTGCTTTCACTCTGGTGTCTCCTCATAGTGAGAGTGTCTCTCTGCAGTATTCCTGAGGTGACAGTCTGCTTTTGTTTGTTGATGGAGAGATGCCTTCTGCAAAGGTGGAGAGACTCATCTCCCCAATTTGTGCCCTGCTGATGAGCTTTGCTGGGAACTTGTATTTCCCATGAACTGCAATTTCTAGTGATGGACTGTTCTTACAAAACAGCTGTTTCACCTTTCCCAGTAACATGGAAAGCCTGCAGGACTTGGAATATCCCAGGCTGTTGTTAGGCTCTGCAAGCTTTTTTTCAGGACTGATTGAGTCCTGTATTTTGTGCAAGCAAATGGGGCTCAGAGTGTTTATCCAGTTTCTCTAAAAGTATTGTCGTCCTGATGTTAGCACTGCTTTTCCAGTCTGGATTTGGTTATCTGGAAGTGGTGGAATTGCTTTGTTGTGTACATACCATTGCCAACCCCCCAAAAAACTTGCCTTGAAAGCACAGACTGACTTCCTGTGCCACTGGCGATGAGGGTCAAATCAGTCTGCTTGCTCCTGATTCTGAAGCATTCCTGACACAGTTGTGGAACACATCTGGAAAGAGTGAAAGGCTAGTTGCAGGTGTCTCACAAAGTCTGAGGCTGGACATGAGCACTGAGGCTCTTCCCTTCAGCTGCAGCCTGCTCAGAGCTGTTGGACAAGGAAGAGAGGGAGCCAGTGACTTGTGGGTTTGCAGCCTGATGTTGGCTGCCCTCTTGGCTTTTGGGGTGCAAAACGTGGTGTCCTGCAGCTGGACTGTGCAGTCTCTGACCCAGAAATGGGCAGGGCAGTGCCATGCTGCTCAGCTGGGCTCAAAGCGATGGGAGTGGAGCCTTACAAAGGGCCAGGCAGGCACAAAAGCCAGGCTCAGGCTGCCTTGGGCTGACAGCCAGTTGCCAGGAGAGTTAACAGGATGTGCCTCTTCCTGGAGGGACAGGGGCTGGCTGCTTTCCTGGATGGAGGCCTGCTGGAGGTGCAGTGTTCTCATGCACCTCCCCCAGTGGAGGGAAGGGAAAGTGTTTAACCTTGTGCTCCTCCCATGTGTCTGAACTTGGGCATCTTCAGTCAGCCAGCAAGGAGGGAAAGCCAGAAGAGATTTCCTGCCTGGCTTGCAGACCAAGGTGGCTGCAGGCAGTTTTCTGTGTTGCTTGTCCCTCCCCTAACCCTGCTCCCCTTGTTCACAGCCAGTGACAGTTTGTGGAACATTCTCTTGGCGTTTAACACATAAAGCACAAATGGCTGCTGCACTCCAGAGCTTAACTTGTTGCCTTTTGGGTGGAGAGTGGCCAAACTGAGCTGCAGCCTCCTTCTCCCAAGCCAGTGAGCCCTCAGGAAGCCTGTGTACACACTGCTGAGTTCATGGTGGCTTTTTCAAGACTGGATCTAAATGAGAATCCACCAGAGAGCCTGACAACTCTCCAAGATCTGCTGTTGAGCATATATCTGCCCTCCAAACTCTGCAAAGTGTTTTGCTTCTAAGAATTAACTTTTTTTTTCTTTTTTTTTGGACCCTCTATTACAGATATGTGCTCCCTAGAGATGTGGTCCAGACATGGTTGTTCTAAACTTAATGACCTTCTGTTTTCAAACCACGCAGCCTGTGTGACATCGTTGCTCATTCTAAAGCAGTTTTTATTGACCTGAGCTCCCTTGGCAGCTCTTTCCCATTTGTCAGCATTTGTGTAGGGTAGACATTAGCCCTGGAGACAAGTTTCTTAAGGACCTTAAAAAGGCTCTCTTCTCTGCAGTGTTAAGAGTGATGATCCCTGTGTACCATAGCAGATTATCATTGCAGAAGGTCTCTGCTTTTATATCACCAAGGGCCAGTTTATCTTTCTAGGCATAGTGTGTTCTTGGGAGTTTGTTTGCAGCATGTTCTGTTCCACAAGCTATTGCCAGTGACATTTATCATTAATCTTGATGTACCAGCTGGTGACTGGCCACACGTTTGTGCCCTTATTACAGTGTGATCTGGATCATTCTGACCTGTCCATGTGGTGGTTTGTCCCTGTCTGCCTCAGAGGCTTTGGTAGGGGCTTTATCTTCTTTGTTGGACACTCCCCTTGTTTAGAGAATAGATAACTCTGATCAGAAACTGTACTTTGTTGCCTCTGTGGTTTTCTAACAAACCCTAGCTATGCTGCACTGCTCCTGAGCAGTGGAAGGAGCGTGTCTGTAATTAGCAGGTGCATCAAAGCAGTTCTGAAGGGATATTTCTGACCCTTCTCCTCCCTGTAGCTGGCACAGCTTGGAGCTGATGGGCTGTGCAGAGCTGGGCAGGTCTGTGACAGCTCTGCAGGGTCTATGCTGTTCTTTGTGTGGGTCAGGTAAGGGCTGTGAGCTGGCTGGACATTGCCAGGACCTGCCTGGCTCTTAGAGGACTCCTTAGTTACTCTGAGTGCAGGGACAGTGCCATGGAGAGTGCAGAGATGAGCTTGGGTTTGGTTCCTGAAGTTCAGGGGGCTCTTGTTTGATAGAGCTCTTCTGTTTTGCCCCCTTTAGGTGGTGAAGGTTGGAATAGTGGAACAATCTTCTGCAACATCAGGTAAGGAACATCCTGTGTGTGCTTTCTGTGTCCTGCAGCAGTGGGAGGACAGGCTGAGCAGACTCATTCATTGCTGATGCCTCGGAGCTGGGAGGTGGAGTTGGATTTTATTGGCTCCCAGTGGTTTCTCTGCAGAAAGAGATCCCTGTCTCCCGGGAGAGGCCCTTTTTTCTTTGTTACTTTACATGGAGCTTTAAGCCAGCTGAAATTCCCACACCTGCATCCAGGGAAGCTCTACTCTCACGTTTGTGCAAACACCATTTTTCTAATGTTGTCAGTGGGGTGGATTCACTGTTACACTTGTTTGAGGTTCCTGCTTCAGCCTGAGGAGGCAGTTCATCAGAAGTTCATGCCTGTCTCTCTGCAGTGGGCTCAATTGCTGAATGAAATTGATCTCAGTGCCTGGGAACTTTTGCCCAGGGTGGGCAAAATTTTAGACCCATTTATTTTTTATTGGGGGAGTGCAAAGCTGATCTGCAGAAGGATACTGTCTGCTTACATATGCAGACATGGAGTGGTGATGTTTTGTCAATGTGAACTTACTTTTTTCACCTTCATATGCACAGGAATATTGTTTTCCTTGTGTTGGGATTGTTTCTTGTTTTGCTTCACTGTCAAACACAGATTCTTGTGGCCTGGGTGACACACAGGTCTGTGCATAGAGGCAGCCCTTCTGTGGGTCACTCCTTGCTGCCACAGTGCTCCCACCATCCTAAAGGGCCATCAGGAAAGGGATGAAAGCTTGGTTGTGGAAGGTGGAATGGGGAGATCCCTGTGGATTCCAAGAGTGGTGCTGCCCTGCAGTGGTTGCAGAGGGAGATTCCCTGTAGGAAGGAGATCAGTGGGCTGGGCTGTGTGCAGGAGGCTCAAAATCAGCTGGGAGCAAACCCTAGGAGAGCAGATGCCAAAGGAGGAGCCCCGAGGAGTGTCAGTGTCTGTGCCTGCCTTGGACCCAGACCTGCAGAGCCCCTCGGAAGTGTGGAACCAGTCAGAACTGATGGGCCAGCTGACCTCTGGACTGAATCTGAACAAAACCTGTGCAGCAGGAGCGTGGACAAGGAGATTGAGCTTTATCCCAGTGTTCTGTGCTGTGAGACAAACAGTTTGACTTCCTTTTTTTAAGGTGACTCTGATGACGCAGCTCCCTCAAGTTCCGTTGTCCTTTCTTCCACCCCGCCTTCCGTGTCTCCTGCTGTGAAAGAAGCCTCCCCCACGCCCCCTTCCTCACCATCTGTTACAGGCAGCTTCTCCCCAAGGTAAACCACGTTTTGTCTCCTTACAGCTCCATTGGCTGGCTTATATGGCATACACGTGGCAGAGGACTCCAGAGGAAAACCCATAGTTCTTCTTTCATCCCTAGCAAACATTTGGAGTTGTCACCATTTCCCTCCTTTTGCCTCTGGAGTGACTGTGTCCTTGCTGGGGCTGGGGAGGGCAGGGGGGATTTTGCACTTGGTGGGAAGGCTGCATGTCTCGAGGGCAGGATTCTCTTGGGAAGACATGTATTAAAAAAAATTACTGACTCTAAGTATGCGTGGGTGCCAGGCTAATCCCTCATGTTTGTTGTGTTTGTAATGGCCAGTGAGTGGAAGGGCAGAGTGACTTTTGAAGGAGCTGGTGACTCTCTCTGAGGGTCATGCTGGCAGTTGCAAGGTAGAACTGCAGCTCCCATTCATGTGTGTGCCTGAAAGCATATCTGAACAGCAAGGAGGCTGCACCTACAGGCAATACTAAGCCCTGGTTTAGCTGAAATTTTTAGGGGTGAAGGGAGGAAACCCTTAGAAAGCTGCCAGTAAGACTTGCCCTGGCCAGGACTCTTCAGTTTGTTGTTGCACACAACGTTGGTGTAGCTGACTTAACACTTTGTGTGCAGCTGTAGTACTCAGAGGAACTTGGTGAAGTCCCCCTTGATTTTGTTAACTCCCCAGAGCCTCTAAGGGACCATAGCAGCAGTCTTGTGAGAAGGGGAGACTAGAAGCATTTGGACTCTGCAGTTTAGGAGAGCAGAGGAAAGGATAAGCCACTCAAGGTGTGCAAAGTCAGGGGGTTTGGGTTTGTAAAGGGTGGCAGAGCACTGGGACAGGTGCCCTGGGAGGTTGTGGAGTCTCCCTCTCTGGAGACATCCCAAACCCACCTGGATGCATCACCTGCTGCAGGTGACCCTGCCTTGGCAGGGGGTTGGACTGGGTCACCTCTAGAGGTCTCTTCCAGCACCAGCAGTTCTGGGGTTCTACTGAAGCTGTGGCACGAGAGCTGGGGGCACACAGTGACACTGCAAGAGCTCAGTTAAAAGGGAGGGAGGGAGGAAAGGACCACATCTGCCCCTGCTGCTTCTGTGGCAGCAGCATCAGCAGATCAAAGAGGGGTCAGATTCACGGACAGCAGATCCATTAGTGGCTACTGAAGGATGTTTCAGGGACCTCCCCTGTAGCATCCCCAGTCCTGTGATTGTCAGGCTGTGGAAGTGCCAGGGTGTGCTCTGAGGCTGAGCTTATGTGCTCTCCCTGAGTAGCATCCCCTGCTGTCCCTGTTGGAGACAGAATGGGGACTTTTCATCCCACCCAGGGTGCCCTGCAGTGACCTTTAACCTCTGACTTCTTGAAGTGGCACAAGAGTTCCCTTTTAACAGGAGGCAGTGGAGGTGTGAAAGTGCCAGTTTAGGTGCCCAGCACTGGAAGGTGTCAGTGCCCGTTCACCTGTGCCAGGGGCCCAGTTCCCCAGGCCCCTCCTGGTGTGTGCCTGTGGTTGGATGGCAGGAGAGCCCTGTGTGCCCCAGCAGCAGCTGGCTGGCAGTGCAGAGAGCTGGGGCTGGGCAGGCTCCAGGGAGCAGAGCTGAATTCTTGTGTATGGGTTTTCCAAAGGTGGAAGTGGGTTGGAAACTGGTGCCCTCAAGAGCATAGGGTATTAAAGCTGTGAGCCATGGATGTGACAAATCTGAAACTGACACCCCAGCTCTAGGAATCTGGTTCTTTTTGGTTTCATACTGTGTGGCAAAATCATCAAAAAATGAGGAAGTGCAAGTTCAACATTGTTCCATCTCCCCTGCTCTGTAAGTGACAGCACAGGGGGTGGAGGGTGACCCAAAGTGATGGATTAAGCCATGTGTTTAACTGGGAAGGGAACATACAATATCCTGGGCCTGGTGAACATTGGGATGCTTTGTCTTTATGACTGAGTTGAGAAATGTGATGCAAAGGAGCCTTACAACTCAAAGCAGCATCTCCAGAGCATCATCCTTAAAGAATCTCACTTCTGAATATTGCCCTGAGAACCAAAAACCTGGTTTTAGTCATCAAAGATGAACTCTGCTTTGCAGTCTGACTTTTAGCTGAATAAATGGCAAAGAAAAGGAAATTATATTTGCTGAGAGGACTGTAAGGATGGGGCGTCCTTGTTTTACCTTGAGTTCCCTATTAGGCGGGTGGTGCAGAGGGATGCATATTTCATTCAAGATCACAGATTTATCTTCCTTAACAACTGCCATTTCTCAAACTGGGGACACAGACTGGTAGATAAATTTAGGTTTTTGTCTAGTATTTGTGTATTATTCAGCGCTGTGTAGGAAGAAGTATGGGCTGTCACTTGTAGGTCTGCTGAATGGTGAAGCCCTGCTCCCCTCAGGGTTATCACTGAGAGGCAGGGGCAGGAGAGGGCTGGAGCTTCCCAAGCTTCTCATCTTACCTTTGCTGGCTCAAGAAGGGGCTGGCAGCATGTTTTGGTGATGCACAGCTGCTACCGCATGATGCACAGGGCTTTTCAACAACAGAGCATATCCTGAAAGCTGCTGTTGTTCAGCAAATGTCACAGGGCTAACAGAACATTTTTTTTTCCAACAGTGGAATTCCCCAGCAAGTGGCAAGGCTTGGGATAGGCAATTGCAAGAAGCAAGTCAGGGAGACTGGGGAGTGAGTGCCTGATGTTCAGGGACCTGCCAAGACTTTGTTCACCCCAGCTGAGTGTTGGTTTTGGCAGTGTTGTGCCTGGACAGAATCACTCATCAGTGCTCAGGGGGCAGCAGCAAGGTGCTTACAGCCTCTTTTCCCCACTCAAAGATGAAGTAATCTGGGACACCTTAGGAGCTGCCTTTGCTGCACAGAACTCAGCACTGTCTAAGGAAAGAGCTTGTGTGCTCCCTTTCCCACTGCTCGCCCTTGTGACTGCAGCAGGTCAGCTTGTCTGGGCTCACTGAGGTTCTGTGCAGTGGGACCCAGGCTGCATCTCTCAGGGGTGACTTCTTGGGCTTCTGTAGTTGCTGAGTCTCACTATGAAATGTCACTGCCTGATTGCCCAAAGAGCCAGCTGTTTATCCTCTGACCAGCAATGCAGCCACTCTGACAAAACCCTGCTAAGAAGCACGCAGGAATTACCTCCTCCTCTTGTTTCCCAGCCAGGGCCTCGGTGCTGAGTTGATGGGCCTGCAGGTGGATTACTGGATTGCAGCTCCACCCGTGGACAGGAAGAGAGACCCAGAGAAGAAGGACCCCTCCACCACCAAAAACACACTGAAATGCACTTTCCGGTCCCTGCAGGTCAGCAGGCTACCTGCCAGCGGCGAGATCGCCACCACGCCAACCATGTCCATGACTGTTGTGACAAAAGAAAAGAACAAGAAAGGTAAGGTGTCCTTCTGTCCCTGTCTGCTGCTCCAGAGCTGCCTGACTTGCCAGTGCTGGGTTACAGCACCTCAGTCCTGTCTTTATCCCCAAAATCCTAATCAGTTGATGAGGAATGATAGGGTTTAAAAGGGTGGTTCCCCTGCGTGGGGTGCAAAGGGGATGTGTTCACCCTGATGGCTGAAGCTAAGATGGTATAGCCCAAAAGGGAAAAGGTGGGGACAGGCTTGATGAGCAGTGGCTGTGTGAAGTGATAGGGTTTGAAAGGGTGGTTCCCCTGCATGGGGGTGCAAAGGGGATGTGTTCACCCTGATGGCTGAAGCTAAGATGGTATAGCCCTAAAGGGAAAAGGTGGGGACAGGACAAGGACATGCAGAGGCCATGCCTGGACAGTTTCCCTGTGCTCCTTTGGAGCCTCCTAGTGCTGTGTTGGGATATTGGATTAGATAAGAGGCAGCTTGTGCCCCAGCCACCAGTGAGGGTAAATGAGCTCCTCCTTTCTGGCAGTGTGTTGGAAACTTGGGATAGCTTTACTTTCTGGGATGATAACCCCATCCTATGAGCCTTTAGCTCAAAAGAGCCACAGAGAATGAAAGAGGTGTGTAAGGGAAAACAAAAGCCCAGCAAGTATCACAGATCCCTGTGAGGTAACAAAACAAGAGTACCCCCTGATCTGGAGTCTGGGGCCTCCCACTCTCTTCCTGCAACCACCACCCCACAAGACCAGTGAGGGGATTCAGAACCTGGAGCAAAGTCCTGGGAGGAGCAGCTGAACTGAGGGTGTTCAGCCCAGAGAAAAGGAGGCTTGGGGTGACCTTGTCACTCCCTACCACTACCTGAAAGGAGATTGGAGCAAGGTGGGAGTCAGTCTCTTCTCCCAGGACGTGAGGAAGCAGCCTCAAGGTTTGCCAGGGGAGATTTAGATTAGCTATTAGGAAAAATTTCTTTGCCAAAAGAGTCATGAAGCCCTAAAAGGGGCTGCCCAGGGCAGTGGCGAAGCCACCATCCCTCCGTGCTTGGAGGTCTTTAAAAGATGTATAGATGTGGCACTTGGGGACATGGTTTAGGGATGCAGTTGGCAGTGTTAGATTAGCAGTTCAAGTCAATGATCCTGGAGATATTTTCCAACCTCAGCAATTCCATGATTTTATAATTCTTATGCTTTTGCACAGAATGCTTTGTGGGTCAAAAGGAACTAGAAGATAAATACTCTCCTGCTCTTAAATTCATGGCTTTATTTTCTCAAAACATTTTGAATGTTGTTAGTGATTTTGTATTTGCTCCTGGCCTTGGCAATGTGAAACATTCTAGAAATTGAGAACAGCTCTGAAACAAATTATTTTCAAGGAAGCACGAGGCAGTTCTGCATTTACATTTTGCCTGCCAGTAGTTATTCTTCACAACATCCTCTGCCTGTGGGCCTGGGAGTCACTCCTGGTGGACTCTGAGACAAAGCTGGCAGGGCCTCCTGGGCTGCAGGACATGGGTGCACAGCCCTGCAGGCAGGGCACTGCCAGGCCAGCACAGCTGTGGCCCTGCTGGTGCTGGAGCTGCCAGCCCTGGTGACACCATTGAGGCTGTCCTGAGACACTCCAAATGTTCTTCCCTGGGGATGACCCAGCCTGCAGCAGAGGTGTTCAACACCACCAGCTTTTGTGAAATCAGTTTGTACATCGTTGCTCATGCATTTGGACAGTTCTTGGGGAGCTGGACCTTTTTTAAGTTCTCCTTATGCCTTCCCTACCCACCAGCTGCCCCCATTTTGTAGTCCCTCCTGCTGTCCAGCTGTCTGTGCAGCCCAGGCTTTGTTGGACACAGTCAGTGCAGCAGGCCTGGCACTGCAGATGCAGATGTTTTCCCTGCATGGTGTTCCAACAGAGGAAGGTGCCCTTTGGGGTCAGGATTATGAGCTGGGAAGGCTTCACAAAGAGACATTTAGGAATAAGATGCTCATGTGCAGCAGTGATGGTGCTCAGCACTGACAGACTCCTGCCAAAAAGGGAGAATCTAAGGAGTAAGAATTTTCAGACAGGAATGTTTAAATGCAAAAGCTCAAACAAGCATCAGTGCAGCTCCTGTGAATGGCACAGCTTGACCTTGTGCTGGTTTGCTTTTCTTCCAGTGATGTTTTTGCCCAAGAAAACAAAGGACAAGGAGGTTGAGTCAAAGAGCCAGTGTATTGAAGGAATCAGCAGGCTGATTTGCACAGCGAAACATCAGCAGAACATGCTGCGTGGTGAGTGCAGCACTTGCATCCATTTGGGTGTGGGGCAAGGCTCACATGCTGTGATTGTCCTCCAGGCCAAGGGCTGAGCTGGTGTCCTGCCCTGTGCCCTGGAGCCAGCGTGGTGGGGATATTCCTGGGGAATGGGCTTTGGTGTGTCCAGCACGGGGGAAGGCTTTAATAGGTCTGGGATGTGGGAACACCCTCCTTTAGCTGGCTCTGAGTCAATGCTCTGGATGAAGACAAGGGCTGGACAGGGCTCCATTGCCCTCTCTCTCATCCCCTGCTTCTCTTGCTCATCTGGTGCAAGTGTTGGCTGGTGGCAGGTGGTGACATTGTGGCTGCTCCTCTGGGCAGGACACTGGCACATGCTCGTGCCACAGCTGGAGCCATATGTGCATCTTGTAGGCAGACCTGGAGTGTCTGTCAGTGGAGCTGGGCATCCAGGAGCAAAAATACCCTTGTAGCCTGTTCAGTTAATAATCCCCAACAGAGGGACCTGCTTGGGTCACCTCCTTCATCCTGGCCTGGTCCCTGTGAGGCTGGCAGGCATGAGGGGTGGCACAGGACACGTGTGACCTCTTTGGGAGACATGGATGTCCTGGTGAGAGTGCCAGTGAGGAGAGACTGATGTCCATCTCTGCAAGAGTGCATTTGCCCAAAAAAGAAAATGAGGTGTGCTCAGGAAATCTGAGAAGCCAGATCAGGTGACACTGAAATCAGCAGTGTGGGGAGCACTGTGAGCATGGGGTGTCAGTGCAGTGTGGGGTGTCAGTGGGCAATGCTGGAACAACAACCTGAGCTCTTCTCCCCAAACCTCGTGTGCTCCTCAGCCTTTCTCCCTGCGAGTGCAGCTGAGTGGGGCAGAGCAGCTGAGTGTGGCCAGGCCTCCCTCTGCTGACTGCAGGGGAATTCTGGCAGAGCTGCCTCAGGCTGGCCACTTCCCCTCAGCAGTTTCTAACTCTGCTCTCTTTTTACCCTCCCCTGCAGTCCTGATCGATGGGGTGGAGTGGAACGATGTCAAGTTCTTTCAGCTGGCAGCACAGTGGTCCTCTCATGTCAAGCACTTTCCCATCTGCATATTTGGACACTCCAAATCTAACTTCTAGCTGTGCTCGGCACAGGGACCTTCTGCCCATCCCGAGGACTGCACACCAGGAGCCAGGACCTGCGTGCCAACTCTGACTCGCGTCGCTCTGCCCTCTCCTGCAGAATTAATTACAGATGTGCTTGGATTACTTTTGAATTACTTTTTTCTATTAACTCTTAAGTTTACTACAGAGGAAGGAAACCCCTTTAAACAAAGGCAAAAAAAAAAAGCCAACCAACAAACCAGTCTTAAATATAGATGTGCTGACAACGTGAAGTCGTGGGGGAGTTGGCAGGAGCAGGCAACCTGCCCAAGAACACCTACCACTTACGAGCAGATAGCTGAGTAACTGCACTGCTTATTAACCTGAGACCTCATTGGTGTGAGTGGGCTGGGGGAGCCCTGGATCAGCTCGAACAGATTTTGCAGAAGATCATGTGTGTTACTGTGCGTTTGGCCCCCGCTCTGTATTTCTAGGAGAAAAGCATGGCCAGTCTTTCTTCCTGCTGCCAAAGGATGAGAGATCAGCGAGTCTGGAGGGAGTTCAACTGTCTGGTGTGGAAAACAAACTTGCAGAGTTAGGGAGGTCTGGAGAGGAGATCCCCTTGGAGCGTGGAGCCTGCCACAGGGACAGGCAGGTGTTGGTGCTGAAGCGATGCCTGAGGAGGGTTGGGCAGGAACAGGAATTAGGGAAACACTAAGTGTAAGGAAATGCCCGTGTGCCAGGTCTTTGACAATGACCAAACCTGGCCACTCTGTGTTCTCCAGCTGGCTGTGCTGCTGAGGGGCACCACGTCAGTGGGGTCGCTGCTATTTACATACTCACACCAATTATTTACCTGTCAATAAAACCTCGTCCAGCCTCGAAAGGGAAAGGATTTTTTTCAACAGCTGCAGATTTTTTTAATGCTTTCTAAAAAAAATAAAATAAAATAAAAACAAAAAGTAACAGGAAAAATATTAATTTGCCAAAAAAACCCCCACAAACCCAGGAAGATGAGCCGTTGTCTGTGGAGTGATGCATCACTGTAGTGGCTGGACTGGGAGCCAGCCAGGCACTCTGCGTGTCCAGCTGCCTTCCTGCCCACGTGTCACACTGCACACCTGAGGTGGCACGGGCTGCTCTGTCAGGTGGTGGGTGGGATATTGGGAGCACGGTGTTGTTGTCATGTGGAAGAGCAGACATTTCTGGCATTTCAGGGTAAGGGACTGAAATTTCTGGTGCACCCTTTTGGGTCCCCCCTTGTGGGCAGGCCAGGCTCTGTGAGCATTTTCAGAAGGCACTTTCTGAGGGCAGTGATGCTTTTCAGCTGTTTTCTTTTTTTTTTTTTTCCTGATCCCTTACCCTTGGGTTTCCAAAGGCTTGGGGAACTGCTTTGTGCTGCACAGCAGGTCCTGCTCTGCGTGGGGACCAGCTGGGTCCCGGGGCAGGTACTGGTGGTGTGCTCTGCTGGCAGGGAGGTTCTGAGGTGAGAACTGCATCTTGTGCCTGTCACAGCTTGGGCTGCTTCACCAGCTGATGTCGTGAAACCCTTTCCCAGCACAAGGGCACCCTACGTGGCCAGAGACTGGGTATTCCCTTCAAACCACACGGGGAGGAGGACACTGTCCCCGGCCTGGTGGCACGCTGCTGGGCAGGACACATGTCTACCTGCAATTCTTTGTTCTTCCTGCCTGCCTTGGGCTGGCTCCTGGCTGTGGCAGAAGCTGGGCTGTAGGGGGATGTTGTTGTGTCCCTTAGCTGATGTTTTTGGGTGACCTGAGCTGATGCTCTGGGGCTGTAAGGCGTTGCCTAGCAGCAGCAGCGTGGGAGAGGGTGTATGAGCACATCACATCTTTATTGAGGCTGTTGTATCAAAAAAAAAGCTTTGTAAAGGAGATTAGTCAGTGTGTGATTTCTCCCTCGAATCTCACGCTGGTGGGACAAGGGTGGTTGGGCTGGGTTCCAGCTGTGTGCAGCCTGGGCAGCTCTGGTGGTGCTGCTGCAGAGGTGGGTTGGACTGACCGACTGCAATAACTTTGTTTACTGGGGGGTGAGGGGAGAACCATCACTGTGCTCCTCTTTGTATTTCAACCTACTGTAAAGAAAAAATGTGGTAGCTAGGACAGGGTTTCCAGAGTCCTGCCTATCAAATGTGTGTTGCCCTGCTGTACTCTGTGTGTGTGTGTGTGTGTGTACGTGTGAGAGAAACACTTCTGCTCGTTGCATTTCATGTTGGTTTGTGTTTTGTTCTAACTTTATACAAGCAAATTCATCGGGAGACTCTCTGTACACCTGAGAGCTTGATTTCCCCTGTGTGGAAAGCTGTTGTTGCTCTGCACAGCGTCTTCCATACAAGAAAACATCCCAGCTCCTCAGCCTTGTTATCCCAAAGGGAGTCCAGCAGAGGCAGGCTGGGTCTGCCTGTGGGCAGCTGTGTGCCATGGGGTGCTGTGGTGTTTCCTGGCCCTGGAGGCAAGGGCTGGCATGCAAATTTGGTGGCACAGCTCTGATCAGGTTGTTGTGCCTCTGTTGTTTCTCCTGTGGAGCCACTTTGTGCAGCTGTTTCTTTCCCTGTCTGGAGTAGAAGCAGATTTTTGTCTCTTAAGAAAAATTAGTGTCAAAGCACATGGCTGCTTTGGGAAGGAGCTTTAGGTCTGGTCCCATGAATGAGTGACTGATCTCAGGTTTCCCAACTTCCCCACAGTTTCTAGGGAAGTTTCTTGCCAGGAGTGAGCTCCACTGACTTGAAGGATCACCAGTGTGGGATGAGGAAAAGTTTCTGGGGCAGCAGAGGGCCTGTGCCTGCAGAGCAGTGCCAGCCTGTGGGGTTGGGTGGTCGTGGCCATGTCAGCGAGTGTGGAAGGATGGCTTAGAGCAGAGACAACACTGCTCTGTGTTCAGCTCTGGAGAGTTTGGGAAGGTACATTTCAAATGAAGAAACTCAGGGGGGCTATCTCCCTCATGCTTGCTTTGGAGCCATGTGGTCTGACAGCAGAGGCAGGGCCTGGGGTGGGCAGCACCTGAGTGGATCTCCAGCCAGGAGATGCTTTGAAGGTGGTGTCTCCCCTGGTGTGTCCCTTTCTCTGTGTCCCAGAGCTCACCCCAGCCCCCCCGAGGGCCGGTCTCTCCTGCCCCTCTGGCTGTGGCTTCTCAGAGCTCTGGTTTCCTTCCCAGCTGCTGTGGGCAAGGCCCCCGGCTGGCTGGGGGTGAGCTCTGCGAGCGGCTGGCTCCGCGCTGAGCTGACCTAGTTTAGCAGCTCCGGAGAGCAGATGAAAGATGGAAGGGGTTTGTGGCATCGTGTTGCACCCTGAGTGCTTCCTGGTCCTCTGGCTTGAGTTTCCTGGAGACAAAGGCAGGGCTTCAGCCCTGCCAGCTCAGGCTGGCTCTGCTGTGGTGCTGCTGGTGTCGGGGATATCTCGTGTGGCTGTTCCAGCTCCGTGCTGCAGTTCCCATTCTATTCAATTGTCACTTTGCATGGCAGTGGTGACTTCAGAGCCCTCCTGAATTACACATGAGCTGGGGAGAGCCGTGGTCTCTTTGGCTATGTTTTGCTGCTTTAGTTAGAACACAAGATAAAGCTTGTGGCTTTATCCTGCAGAGAGGGCAGGAGTAGGTGGCTGGCAGGTTTCTGGGGCTGAGGAGATGTGCCTGTTTGCTTTCCATCATCACACTCAGCCAGGAACCACACTGCCCTGTGCTTAACCTGTGATTGCAGCAAAGGCCCTGTCGTGTTTCTCACCAGCAGCGTGTGCTGGCGGGAGCACTGGCGAGCCAGGGCAGAGGATGTTGCACCTGGAGTCTCCAAAGTTAAGAGGGAAATCATGTCAAGAGGCAGCAGAACCGGTGGTCTTTTCCTGCTACTTGGTGTGCTAAGGGATTGGGAAGCTGGGATTAGGACAGTGGGGCCATGCAGCTGTTAAGGGCTTGGGGCCCTGGAGCTTTCTGGAAGTTAGGTTGGATGGGTCCCCTTCATCTGGGGGGTCTTGATTTCAGCAGATATTTGAGTAGTGGCATTTTAATGTAACACGCCCTCTGGGCTTAACCTGGCAGGAGAAGGCCAGAAATGAGCAGCAGCATCTCCTGGAGGTTTCCTGGAGCCTCTTCAATGGTATTCTCATGGGAGATGTTCCTGGCAGGGCTGGCTCCTGCAGGAAGGATCACTCTGGTGCTTTGGGACATACTGGGGCAGAACGGCACGTGCCATCTTGTAAAGCAGCAGGTTGCTGGTTTCTTTAAGGAAGAGCACTGTTCTGGGGCACATCCAGTCAGCTGCTGGCTGCAGCCGTGGCTGGACAGTGGCCGGAGCATGGCCAGCCTGGCTGCGGACGTGCCCCAGCCGTGGGGAAGCGCCTCAATTCTGGGGCTGCGTGCCACCAGGCTTGTCCAGACTGCGGCGTGAGAGGGGACGTTACCACTTTGTAGATTCCCGAGCTGTCCATCTGTTTCATTGTTGTATTGTTTGGGTTCTAGGGTTGTTTTTTATGAAGACAGATTAAATGTAAATAGCCTTTTTTTTGGAACAAACTGCAACGTGCTCGACCTCGTCAACTATTTTATGGTACTAATGCAACACTAATAAAACTGGACATGAAAGCACACACCCGTCCCCGGAGTCGTCTCTCAGCAGGGGCTGCTCTGGCATGCCCGGGGCAGTTGTTTGCAGGAGGAAACAGCAGCACGGCTTTCTGCCGTGGGGGTTCTCTTCTGTTATTTATCCAGCTGCCACTTCCAGGGCAGAGCTGGTGGATTGGCACGTCCTTCCCAGCACCGAGCCCTCCTGCAGTTTGTGCAGCCCTGCTGCTCTCCTGGCCGCCTGCTCTCCCAGAAGGATCTGCTCAGCTCCTGCAGCTCTCCTGGATGTGGCAGCCCTCTCCAGCACTCAGTCCTCACCTCTGCACAGCAAGGAAGGACCAGGCTGGTGCCTGTTTCTGATCTGGGGGCTGCGTTGGATGGGCACAGTGGTGTTGGGGTACCAAGGGAGGCATCTCAGGGGGGAGGACTGAGGCTATGGGAGCCTGAAGCTGTGTGTGCTCCTGGGAGGACTGTGGGACAGGGATAGGGATGTGTGGCATTCCAAGAACCTGGACTTGGTGCTGGGGAATCAGAAGGTGAAGAGATGAAGGAAAGAGGAGAGCTGAGCTGTTGTTTTGAGGAAGGAAGGTGAAGAAGAAATTGTGAGAAGTGGGCCCATGGCCACAGTCCTTACAATCCAGGATGCTGGAGGCAGAAATGGGAATGCTGTGCTG